CGCATACAATAGAAGAAAGGCAGATGTACCCTGTACCTAGAGGCTACTTGGAATATGAGCATCGGAGATCCCCGATCGACGATGAACATGAGCTATTACCTCAGCACAGAGACCCGGTCCCCCTGCGTCGGCGCGTCGTACTGCACGGTATCGACTACAGAGAAAACTACTACTGTACCATCGTCATCTGACTCCTGTATTGCCAAAAAAAGAAAAAAGGGACAGGAGTCCTAGTTACTAAATTCCCCGAGACGACGGTGCCCGAAGTGCTGGGACGCGAGTTAAGTACCGTAGTGTGGGGCGTAGGGGAGTCGGATGACTCTGCTGGGGCCAAGAATGTCTTTCATCTATCTTACTTTATTGCATATCAGTAAGATCGATGGGCGGTGACAAGCACTGTCGGTCGATCGTCAGTACGGGGGGGGTATTCGAAAGGTTTTGTTATTAGCTGATGGTTTTGATAAGAGTAGCAATGGCCGTTATTGGTGATGCTGTGAAGGCTGCTGGACTGTTGTTAGGCATCTAGAAAGGTTCAGGTGATAGATATTGGAACCTTAAGAGAATTATTGACTTGGATTGGCTATGGTTCGTGGTGGCTGTGGCATCTGAATGGGGGACGGGTGATTTCGAGTACTTCACTTCTAAGATTGTGCAGTGAGTAGGATACAATGAGATGGGTGGCCTTCTTCCTCGTAACAAGTGAAGAGCACTGGATGGCAAGTGCATATTGTGAAGTCGGCAAGATCCGATAGACCACGGTATAGAGCACAGGCGAGGAGGAGCATCATTCAAGTTCATTTCTTTCATCCGTTGCAACGGGCCTTCTATGTATTCGCCATGTTTTAGACACCAATCAACTAATTACCCATGGCATGAATTGTGTGATATCAACAACCACAACCGAAAGTCTCACTTTTGGCCATAAAAATCGAATTGTATACAAGAAATCTAGAACTCCTGCTCATCATCACCGGAAATGATGACGTTGTTAATCTACTTTCCGTTAGTTCTGGTTCTATCGTAAATGCTGTAGAGATGCGGAACTCACCTTAAGAACCATACGGCAGAGCTGAGTTGCGAGCAACAGTTGTTGCCTCTTTCCAATCAGGGGATCAATAGCAAAGTGCTCCCGCATATCTAAAACCAGGGCATTAGTATCATTCCTACTTCCAAATGATCGTGAAGCGTACCGTTGTTGCCGGTCATCATGCAGTCGACTCCCAACCGCGAGTTGTTCTCCTTAACCTGGCGAGATTTGATCGAGGCAAGCGTCTCAATTGGGCTCAGACCGGAGTTCTCGGCCAGTGCCAATGGCACGGCATCGAGGGCATCTGCGAAAGCGCGCATGGCATACTGCTCAATTCCAGGGCTCTGTAGAATTTATTAGTCTAAACGTAATCCAAGTTAATGTGTGACATACCTTGACAGCGGCATCTTCCACGGCAATAGAGCAGGCAATTTCAGCGGCACCACCGCCATATACAACGCGGTTGTCTCGCACCAGGTTCCTCACAACGCAGAGGGCATCGTGTAGTGATCGCTTAGCTTCATCGATAATCTGAGAGAACATTAGTATATGTCAAGTGTAATCAATAGTATAGTGAACTGACCATCTTGTTGCTACCACGCACAAAGACGGTGACAGCACGGCTGTTGGCGCAATCTTCAATGACAAGCATCTTCTCGCGGGTGGTGCCGAAAGTCATCTCCCGGACACTACCTGCTGTTCCCAGCTTCTCTGCATTCAAGTCCTCAAAGCGAGGAACGATACGACCATTCGTTGCAATGGCAATGAGCTCAATTTCAGGGCCACCAACCCAGCGGACGGCTGGAAGATTGTTCTGGAGAAGGAGATGGTTTGCTTCGTCATCGAAACCCCATTGACAGATGACCAAGTTGGCTCCCGAGTCTTTCAGGTGTTGGATCATCTCTGTGAACTTCTCTCTTTCATAATCTTGCAGCTTCTTGAACTCCTCGACCGACGTAATGTCAAGCTTATGCTTCGTCTTCGGCTTAGGGGGCTCGAACGGGCAGGTCAAGATTGCCAATTTGGCATCCTTGACTTCATCAGGCATCTGAGGGTGGGAGAAGTCCTTATCGACAATGACACCCTTGACAAGCAGAGAATCTTCGAGGGCACCGCCCACTTTGCCGTCGACTTTGATCAACTCGAAATCGACGTCTTTACGTTCGAGATCTGCAACGGAGAGGACGGCATCGATGGCGATCTTGGCGAACTGATCGTGAGATTTGGAAACACTAACGAGCATTAGCACCGGAGATGAGCAATATAACAAAGCTGGAATCACCGTCGTACATTTTGCTACCCAGACTAGTCTTAGCGACCTTCAGTAGGTTGGAAGTGTCTTCCTTGGTAAAAGGAATCTCGTCACTAATCTTATCGAGCTGTGCAACAGCGATCTCACAGGCTTGATCATAACCATCTGCGATCCGAATTGGGTGAATGCCCTTATCGATCAGGTCAGACGCTTGCTCCAACATGGCTGCCGCCAGGACGACAACACCCGTTGTTCCATCACCGATTTCTTCATCTTGAGACTTCGAAAGTTCCACTAGCAGCTTAGCAACATTGTTTGTGATTTCCATCTTCAAAAACCTCCAAGTTAGCCATCTTCCAGTGAACGGCGACGCTGCAGACGAACCTGGGACAAAATGGTTGCGCCATCGTTAGTCACGGTGATATCGCCATCTGGGGAAATAAGAATCTTGTCGAGACCGCGAGGACCCTAGATCGTTCTTAGATGCTGTCAAAATGTAATTCCACGTCCAAATCATACCAGAGACGTCTTGACAATGTTGGCAACAGTTTTGGCCGCAACAATATGTGATTTCACAGCATCGGTGCCATGCTGTCTCTTCTTCTTTCCTTGGCTGTCAAAATCCATCATATCAGTCATTTGCCCTGAGAGGATCGTAAACACTCCCCCGCATAGTAAAAGTGTTGATCCGCAACGTACTCTCGAACGACGATGAACGGCCGGCCCTGCTCATCTTTCATCACAGAAGCTGTCAGGTTGTCAGCGGAGACTCCGAAGGCATATGATCATGGATATAACGGTAAGATTCTACCTTGAGACAAATCAAGCTCTATATAGAGGAGATTGAAAACGTTAGTACGTCGACTTCGAATGAGGGGCACGGAAGACATACGCATCGCCATTTTGTCGGTCTGTCGTGTGACAGAAGTCCAAATTTTTGTATTTGGAGAACGCAAGGAACACAACGGTAATATGAGAAGGGTTCCCCAAAGCACGTTATCAAAGCGATGTGGGGAGTTCAGGGGCCTGGACGCTCTTTCACACTGGACGGGGTCTTTTTTAGAAATTCTGGAGATGTTCTGATGTCCCAGTCGGGCTAGTGAGCTGCTTTCCATATCGGGTATAGCGCCATTGTGCATTCACGCGACTGCGCGACTCTGTTCTAAGTAGCACTGAAAGCAACCATTATCATCAATTATTCCTGAGCACCAGTCTCTATAAGGGTGGCATAGCGATCTATTCTAGTATACTTTGAATCAAATTTGCCAAGCTGTTTTCTCGAATTTTTTCGCTCACGTCTTCTTTTCGCCGGATAATGCCGCGTAAGTGATAAATTGACTTAGTCGCATTCGAGATGCCCGTGTTGTTGACAATCGCATAGCACCCGTGGAGAACCTTTCTGACGACGAGTCAACCGGAGAATCTATCCCTTATAACGACGCGAAAGAAGACCATGACTCAGGCGCCGAAAACCAAGAAGACAATCATGAGGAGGAGGAAGAGGAGGAGGAGGAGGAGGGCGTGTGAGTTGCGATGCGCAGCGACCACTGACGATCAGTGCTGATAGGAGCAGCTATGTTGTTGAAAAGATTCTCGGTCACGACTTTGCGAAGAATGTGCGCCTAACCGTACTTTCTCACATCACATTGTCGCAGATGGAGTCGCCATGGCTAATGCTGAGATAGGGAACTCTCCTCCTGCAAGTGAAATGGAAAGGATACGATGACCCTGCAGATGAGACCATGGAGCCGGAGGAGAACCTGCTGTATGTTTCTGCATGATTTCTGAAACCCGGCTCATATACCAATTGGTTTCTATTAGGGAGGGCGCAAAAGACCTGGTTGAAGAATACTACCGTGTCCAAGGCGGTCGGCCTGAGAAACCCCAGCGGGGGAAGCGCAAGTCCATGACTGGGCCAAAGCAGACACCAGAGAAAAGTGAGCCTAAAAGGCGAAGAAAGTCCCGCGCGGAAGCTGCCACCGAAAATCCAGATGAAGATGATGCAGATTTACCTCCTTGGGTTCCCCGGACCGGTAGCTGGGAGAACGAGGTGCAAAATGTTGACACAATCCTGCGTGATGCGGAAACGTCGACTTTAATTGCATATCTCCAGTGGAAGAACGGAAAGAAGTCCAAGGTCTCCCTTGAGACCTGTTATGATAGATGCCCCCGAAAGGTATGTTTATCGACCCCATATATGCTTTGAAATACTAATGTTCAAAAGATGCTTAAATTTTATGAGGAGCATTTGTGAGTTGTCTACTCCAGAAAATGACAAATTTCGCCTGGTTCTAACCATTATCAGGGTTTTTAAGGAAGGTTGAGTTTTTGCTCTATCAACATTTTTCGACAATTTGCTTTTTCTTGTACTTTTCTAGCCTGGGGTGTAAATTGGTTTAATTCAAGATTCCTGTCTAATCTTGTTGGGAAGTGAAAAGCAGTATCTTTTCTAGATAGTACTGTTTGATCACAGTGCATAAATGGGTGTTCTGCTGCAGTTTCGACTTATCTATGAACTCTAATGGCAATTGGTATCTCTGGGAAATGGGAAACAAAAAGAAGGGAAATGAAAGGAAAAAAGAAACCAAAAAAAGTTCATCAACATAAGAGTTCAAGCTTCTCCCATATCTTCATACCGTTGCGAACTAACAACGCTCTACTTTACTGTTGACGACTATTGTACTTTTTAAGCCTGCTCGATGTATGTAGGCTGCCCGAATTTCAGCTATCTGACCCATCGAGGCCAGCAGCTCTTGCCATTCCAAGATATTCCCACCGGTTGTTAAACGCATCCGAGCCATGCTTTTTCAAGACTTGTTCGATGGTTCGGGTCTCTTGAGCCTCGAAACACCTGTCGTCTTCAGCTGTCCACACTCCAGGCATATTGTCAGGAATGCCTTCTCCTGCAGTCAGATAGTCAAGGACCTTATCGGCAAGATGCGGGTCCATGCTAGTGCAGCGTAAAGCCTTGATTATTTGCTCCTCATTTTGTGCTCTCCCTGTTTGCAAGCGATGATCAATCCACGTATCGATGTCTTGCTCTGGCGGCTCTTCGGGCTCGGAGTCTGGACTTGACGGTAAGAAAGGCAGCTCTAAAAACAAGGGATCAAGGGCGTTTTCTGGATCATGGTCTGGGGACTTTGTTTTTTGGGGTTGTACAGGCTCCGATATGTTTGTGGTAGGGTCGTGAGTTATATGTGCCTCATTAGCAACTAAAGTTGCGGGTGTTGGAGTACTTTCAATATGTGGGGATTTGTTCTGTTGTGTGTGTATCATAGTGGGAATTAAGTCTTTGGGTATCTTGTCGATCGCTCTCCTCTTTTGACTCGCAAGGTGCATTCCATTTAATTCAAGATCAGAGTTGTGTTCCGGTGTATGTTTTCGTTTCTTATCGCCTAGCTCATGAATAACTCCATTATCATCCTGGGATTGCTCCCTCTGTGTGGCTTTCTGGCGACTGTCCTTCTCAGCGGAAGCAGGAAGATCTGGTTTCGGCATGCCCCCCGGACGCGAGCGCCCACGAAGCCTTTTTAGATACCGGTCACGATATGACTGATAGGTGTGACGGGGGTTCTGTACAGAATGAAACGTTAGACTCCAAAGATAGGATTCACATCAGTCTGGTATCAGAGGCAACTTACCTGCATAGCTAATTCCTCATATATTTTGTTGCCTCCTATGAAGGCGTTGGGGTCTTTCTCATACGGTACCATCTGGTCCCATAGCCACCGGTCATCTTCCAGAGTATATGGGATCAGATGTCTTCTGGTTGGAATATTTGTGGCCCCGACAGCGCGAGCTGGGGATGGCCCAGCTCTGTGACTCTCGAGATCCTCCAGCTTTCCATTACGAACAGATCGCTCAACGTACCGATACGAATACCTGCCAAATTGTCAGCAGGAGTAAACGGAATTCAATAAGATAAAAATTAGGATAGGAGAAACTCAAGAAAGATACAGTCAACTTACGTGTCCGGCGGAAGATTTTTTCTGGCATGATCAACTAACTTTACATCCGCATCCTTCTCATGGAGCCTTATGACACCACCATGTTGCTATATATACCTGTCAGATGAAAGACACCATACAATTGCAACCGAAGGTAATTACCTGAATAAGGTCTTTGAATCTACTTCGTTGGGGAATATTGTGTGATAACCAGAATTGTTTCCCTTGGAAAAGTGGTCTAGGAGGAGCCATAGAACTTGTATCCCCCATAGGGCCGTCCACTAACTTTCGTCCCAGGACTGCTATATTATGCCTGATACAGGAGTCCAATTGTCCCTCCCTCCTGATTAAAGGCACGGGCTTCCAAACGCGTTTGTGGTACGCGTGATCACGTGTAGATATGGCAGAGAAGGTTATATGCGCCAAAGGGACGGTAAGTGTGATATATTACTCTGTTAATTTGAAAGGGCGCCTGTTCGTAGCGTAGTTCTTCCAAAGCCTAAACCAGGTTCCTTGAAAGCCATGGAGGGGTGTGGCTGTCTCAGTATAGCAAGAACTATGGGTGGTGCACCGCGAAGACTTAAAGTATGTTTGTAATCTAGGCTCATAGTTTTGTACAAGGCAAATATTGCCACAGTTCTGGGGCGGTAGCTCAGTGGATAGAGTGGAAGATTGCAATGTACCATAATTAAGTGGTCGGTTAGAGTTGCAACCTATCTTTAGGTCGCCGGTTCGATCCCGCCCGTCCCTCATTTCTTTTGCTTTTTGAAATCTTCATTTATTAATTAGATAGATATAATATATATATATATATACACTTAGAGTACGGAGTAGGGAAATAATACATACTACGTTCAAAAAAATTATTATGTTTTCTGGCTCGTACTAGTTATATCAAATTAGTTTACTGAAAATAAAGCCAATTTAAAATCCCCCGAAAGTCTGTCACGTGTAGATAGTCGATAACTCGTGTATAGAGTCTGTCCAACCTTACCCTAGGCTTACTTTTTCTTTGACTGCTCCGTCCATATTGTTTCTTCAATATTTTCGCACTATCATGTCTGCCCCTAGTGCCGAGGCTTAGACTCATTCCCTTCGTGTAGGCCGGTTAACAGGCATATCGCGTCCAGCACACGACACACGACTTAGCGTACTGAAGAACCAACAATGGGGCTCTTGAGGACCATCGCTTTGGTTATTCTAGGCATTTCTGGCTTCACATTTGTCGCGCTTTTTGGGAGGTTGCCTGCATTCCGGTAAGGTGGGGAGGCCCAGTCTTAGTGCAATGACTGATGAATACTTTACACAGCAAAACCCCTATTGGCTTACTGCATAGGATTGTTTGCATACACATCCCAAGTGCAATTTCGTCACTTGATTCTCGCCTCTTAGACGGTCGACTTGTGTACTGCTGGAATACAACTGGTAGCTATATATTTCACGAGAATCATCCACTTGTGCTTGTAAGTTTCTTAAATAGTGGATCATCCCACACGCCTTACTAATGTCCCCAACAGATATTCTTTGCATCCCTCCTCATAGCAGGGCAATGCATGTTCATCCCAAGTGCATGGCCCAGGGTCTCCATGTACCATAGGCTCTGCATGCCCATTGCTGCCACGTTGCCATATTTCTTTCTGTATAAGAGCATTGTCACAAAGTCCTTCATCACACCCAAAAACCACGCGCAAGAAATGGAACGCTATCCTTATGATAAAGTCATCTTTCACCCGGGTCGCTACTGCATCACATGTGAGATGATTAAGCCGGCACGGAGTAAGCATTGCAACTTCTGTAGGGCATGCGTTTCTCGACACGACCACCATTGTGTATGGCTGATGAATTGCGTCGGATTGAATAATTATCGCTATTTTCTGGCCTTGATTTTGTCTCTCTCTATAATGCTGATCTACGGTTCATGCATTGGCTTCTCCCTTCTGTCTCAGTCATGGGAGAAGTTGATCCCGCTAGACTCACCGTTGCGGACAACAAGACAGAGTTGGACAATGTTCTTTAACGTATGGACTGTTGTGATTTCGACGGATCTCCGTATTGGGGGCGTTACATCATTGATGTTCATGACAGCACCGTTGGCGATGGCTTTTCTCGTTTACCACACTTACCTTATCTGGGCTGGCATGACCACAAATGAGAGTGCGAAGTGGTCCGATTGGAAAGAGGATGTCGCTGATGGTATGGTATTTAAATCTACCAAGACAGAGGCCTACGGAAACTCGCCTTTGCTCCGCGAATATCAGAACCCGCAAACATACTGGCCGGCAAGCAGTGACCAGGTGCTTGTACTTACGGAAGGTGAGCAACCGAGAATGGGCTTCGTGTTCTCACCCGATTCCAATGAGATTAGACAGCCCAATGCGAGGGAGGCACCTATTGATCATAAATGGACATTAGTGCGCAGTATGAGGGAGATCGACAATATCTATGATCTTGGGTTTTGGGATAATCTACGCCACTCCTTTGGATTACCTGCTCGGCGGAAGATGTCCTAAGATTCTACATACATAACACACTCGAATATATGGATACCTTTAATTACTTAGTAGCTGGACTAAATCCTTTGAGCATTACTAGTACTGCTATTCTAGTACCTCACCTATGGATCCTCCTTTACACCATAGGCAGTTGGCCAATCATATTGTGCGGCGTACTTGGACGAGTCGGCGGGACCGGAGCCGGAAAAATTCACTTTTCAATGCGGCGTTTCTGTCTTCCCCGCCCAATTTGTTATTCTAAGTCAACAACTTTGTCGCATAGTGTTTGTGAGCTTCCTCACAGATCCTGCCAAGATGGCTGACCGGACTGCTGCGGACATGAAGCCAAAATGTACCCCGGCCGAGCTCATGCTAAAGGTTATCCTGACGGGAACCTTAAGTCACTATGAGACTCGTGGGATGATTGACGATAAACGCCTCGAGCATATGTTATCTGCCGGGAAACAGATATTGTACAAGACACACCAGGAGAGCGATGTTAGGTAATTTTCCTTCCATTTTTCTCGTCATTTTGATCGCTTCACTATTTATATACTGACTTTGTTCTCATGACAGACATAATTTAGGCCTGTCACCAGACATTTGGCAGGGCTTTACGGATGTTTTGACAAAAGCGATACCCGTTCTAGAATCACAGTCATTTGCGTGGAAATGCCCCCCGACTGCGAATTACGACCATTCCTCGTCGAACTTGATAGCCTACAATTATTTTTCGCTTGTCAAGGATATCGAACGTCTAAATGATCTGTGCACGATCGCCCGTAACCTCCTCGCGACAACAAAGAAAGCACAGAATATGGCGGCTGAAAAAGGCTTTGATCAAAGGATCTTAGCATTGGTGGACACGTGTGTGAGAGTAACTGCCCGTGGGTTTGACGGTGAAACGAATGCAAGGAATGAAGAGCGCTGGCAGAAAGTAGTCAACCTCTACAAGCGCTTGTTGATCACATGTCTCCAGTTCCTGCACAACTTTATCATGCACAATGAACAGCGGAAAATGGTACTCTGGTTGGATCTTTTCGGATACCACTCCACTGGAGATTCGAATATCATTCAACCTCGAGAGCCGCTAGACCCGGCCAGTTGTCAGCCTGAGGGAGCGGCGCCCATCGTCAAGACTGGTGAGAGAATCGTGAATCCCCCTATCAGGGCTCTTTACGACCAAACGGCAGAAGACTTGCTCCTGGAGACTATCTCTAACTTTCCGAGAGAGCCAGCGACGATCAAAGAGGAAGCAGCAATGTTACTTCTCGCAAATATCAAAGACCACATGGAGAAGCTTCTTGGGCGCGACTTGACAGCTATTCAAGAAATGGGCAAGGATCCAGAGCAAGTCAAAGAAATCCGTGCTGCTCTTACGGCGATACTAGGTGCAAAGGTTGATGGATTCTCGGACCTCCAAGACAGAGCTAAAGATCTGCCACCAGCCCTTCCCGAAGACGAGCCGCCGCGCAAGAAGGCCATACTTACAATAGATCGAAGCACGACGGCCGGATTCCCGCGTATCTGCTGGGCTGATCTGCCTGACCTCAACGCCTATGGTGCCCTTGCTGCAGGGGATGCGACTATCATGGAGGAAGATACAAGCATGCCGCGGTCTGCTCAATCTGCTGCGGAAACGCTCCAAGAAGCGAAGGATGAGTTGATGGCCCGACTTCAAGAGTCATCTCAAATTGGGGGCGACGGCGATCAGGACTATGACACTGGCGATGCAGGAACAGTTGGCGACGACGATTCACGTAGTCTTGAGGCCGTGGCAGACGGAAGCATGGAGGAAGAAGAAGAGGAAGATGATGAGGACGATGATGATTATCGAGGACGCCCAGGTGATCAACAACGTGGTCTATTGACAGACATCCCTCTAGTCCTGGGCCCCGCGGAGATAGAGGCGCTTCCGATGATCATTCAGGCTGGTATTGTCGATAGCTTTGGGCTGAAGGGAGGAGAGAGAACTGGCTCAAGGAATATGCAGGCACTTAGATGCCATATCCTGCTCACTCAGGAGACAGGACGGAACCTTCTTCGGGAACTATTGATCTTCATCGCCGCATGGGATTTGCCCGACGATGAACTCTATTTCAAGATGATGGTGCAGATTATGGACGCAGTTTTAAGGAACGGCCTCATGTCTCATGCCTACTCTGACTTCGGCCAACCAAAGGACATCATCTCTCCGGCTCAGGCAGTCGTCGTCAAGATTCTCACACATATATTTAGGGCTAAATACTCTCCCGCTTCTGTCACAGGATCAACACAAGCCAACACAACGAAGAACCCAGCACCGCTCTCTAGGGTCGATATTCTCACAGTCCGCTACATATTCACCATCTTCCGCGGAAACATCATCCCAGAAACCTGCGCATTGATCTACCTTCAAGGCCAGATCCGTGCTGGACGGGCGCTCCCCGAGGACTTCCCGCTGAATCTGTGGGATATGGAACGGGTCTACGAAGGTGTCTACCAATTCCTGGAATTTTTCGCCGTCCTTACCGAAAATAACGACTGGAAGAACCTTCTAGTCAAGTGGGAGATTGTCTACGATTTGGTTACCTTGATCAAAGAACTTGAAGCAAGCATCCCTAAAGGGCAATTGAGCCAATTGTCCCTCGGGCCCCGTAGCCCTTCAAAGGAGTCCCAACCAAGCGTTCCTGGACCAGTTGCGGTTGAACGACCCTATGACCCCAGTGATCCAGACCCGGTGGATGGCGGTGCTCCTTCTAGAGCTGAGTCGCCCCCGATAACTGAAGACCCATCCGAATTTGAATGGAGGAACCTTAAGAAGCTTGTCGTACTCGTACTCTCGTCTCTTGTGTGGAAGTGCCCAGAGGTCCAAGACCAAATCCGTCGGCATGGCGGCGTCGAGACCATCCTGTCTTGCACCAACTTTGACGCGCACAACCCCTACATCAAAGAGCATGCGGTCATGTGCTTGAAGTTTTTGTTGGAGGGTAACCGCGAGAACCAGAAGCTTGTAGAAGAGCTGGAGGCGCGTGAAGTAGTAAAAGACGAGAACGGACTACTCGAGAGGAGCGGGTTCGAGGCCGTGATCGACAAGACTGGCAAGCTGGCAATCCGACCCAAGGACGGGAACGGAGAAAAGAGATAACCTGTAGACAGACAGTGACTTCAGTCCTTTCTTTCATACCTCGAGTATTAGCATAGACAGAAGTATCATGCAATGACAATGGCCTCATGAATCATCAAACATATCATGATAATATTCTCCCAATATCGCACAACCTCACCACCCCAAAACTCCACAGCCCACTAACATGATAAAACCACCACACCCGCATCTAGCCATACATACCATCCCACTCTTCCTCATCATCCTCAACCGGCTTCTTTCTCCTAGCTTCAGCTTTCTCCCTCTCCTGCTTCGCAAAATCCGTCCGATCCAGCGGACACGTCCCCCTCAACCTCAACCACGGCCGCACACACTCCAAATCAAAAAGATGCGTCGGATGACACGGCAATCGCACAACAAGCGGATACTGGTCCTCCAAAAACGCATTTCCGCAAATCGGACAACTCTGCGACGGCTTCAATGACGCCTTAGGCACACGGTCCAGAACTACACCCCCCAGCCAAACATCAGCACTAGCCCAACCCCAACTTCAAAAAAAGAGTAGAGAGAAGGATACATACCATCACAAAACTCCTCACTAACACCCTCGACCTCCCGCGGGGGCGTTTCGGCCGAGCTCAGCAAGCTCTGAATCATCTGCGTCAGGAGGTCATTGTCACCTTCGCCGGTGGGTACACTGTGCTCGCCATCGCGGCGCATCAGGTCGAAGGCTTCGGCGAGGGAGTAGAAGGCTGCGCTCACGTCGCGCGGGACGGGGACGGCATGTTCTCTTGTGCGGGCTTCGTCGGGGCTTATTTCGGAGAGGGCCGCGAAGAATGTGGAGAGGTCGGGCCGGCGGCGGTGGGTTGAGGGCGTGGCTGTGCCTGGGTCTGTTGTATTGTGTTCGACTGTTTTTCTTTTGTTAGGGTTGTCTTTTTGTTAGGTTAAGGGGAGGCGGGGTCGTACCTTCGTAGGTGGACATTTTCGTTGTGGGTATTGAACTTGGGTTAGAGGGGGAGGGTTTGAGCTGACGAGGGGCGCGGGGTCGGGCCCGGGTTCCCTGGTGGCTTGAGGTCTTCGTCTGGGAGATGGGTTTTGGTTTTGTGTAGGTAGTGTCGGAAGAAGGAGGAAGAGGGAGTGAATTGCAATGGGTCTGGAGTTGTTATAATGCTGGTTGTTCGGTGAGGTTATCCGGAGGCAGCAGCCGATAACGCGTTTTGGCGGTTCGGTGCGGAGGTCGAAATTCTATTCGGGTTACGGTCCATGGACACAATAGGCACCACATGACGTACTGGTAGCATATATGTATATCTATCTATCCATCTATCTATCTATCTTTTAGACCAATTCGGCATTTTTGGTTTTGTTGACCAGTAGGCAAGAAGCCGTTTAAACCGTACTCGAAATGATTCAGGGCCAACCGGTGGGGTTAAAAGGTGGACATTTATTTACTTCAAATCTGTCCTCTCACCTTGATGAACACCATAGCCTGAAAACTTCACACCGAATAGGGTTCCACCCGTAATGTATCCGACAAAATGGTCTTTAGGGGTAGGCAGAAGCCCAGATAAAACCATGGGAAAACACATTCAAACCACTTAGACATGATCAACTAATCAAACATGGTAGGCATATGTTTTTTTCTGGCGAACTGCTCATCTTCTGCGTAGTAACTATTGAAATCGACTGCGAGTATCTTTTGTCGTGGAGAGGATGCCAAACTTTGCACCTCCACGTCGATGAACGACCCCCATAAGCGGGACTACATCAACTGCAATTGGTTTGCTGTATTTGAACTGGCGTACTCAACACTGAGCCGGAAGGGGGTAGCGAGAAATCGGCCATTTCACCGATTGATCGACAAAAAGCAACGAATGGCGAATATTCGTAGTCACGGCCATATCCGTAGTGTTTTCCACCATAATAAGCTTCATACATAGATATTGGACTACCCGTAATTATAATTGCTCGTCGGTGAGCATTAGTAGAGGCAAAGGAATTATTAAGAGACGCCGGGGCAGGTGGAAGACTTTCTCTTGAACTGTTTAAAATTATACTCAGGATGGAACGTGTTAAGGTGGCAGGAACAAAACTCCTTCGGGGGAACACACTTCATGGATAACGAGAAGAGCGGCTATCCTCCGGGAAGGGTCCAGTATAGCCGGGCGCTATATTGTAAGGAGAGGAGTGGTTCCCGGTAAAGAGAGACACAGTTCCAACTGGAAACGCAGCGGTATTCAAGGACGACAACTCTATATGATACAACTTCATATAGCTGTTCCGGATGGAATATGAATGCGTCGCCAGTGGAGGGAACTATCCGGTTACCCACCCGGACCGTACTAAGTGGAGTAAACCATATGATATGCGGCAGTACAAGATCCAATCTGTAGATCCACAACCACGAAACACCTATATAGGCTTTACCGGGCGCTCGCTATAAGTAAATCTCCGGAAAGAAGAGGAAATATAGTTGAGTCTCCGAAACGAGTCATTTTGACGAGGTTGGCAGATAGACAAGTAGATAGGCAGCTAAATCAGCAGTTATTAAAAGTATTGATCTCTTAGGTAGGAGCCTAAAGAGGCTCGATCTCCGGAGTACTCTGTACCAGAATGAAATCAGACTACTACCTAAAAACGGCAGGATCATCAAAATAATACCACGTTGAATGCAGGTGCCTTCAAATTTCTACTTTTATAGGAAGGCGGTAGGGGCGGTGAGACTGTTCAGGTGGTTTAACTTGGTCTCTACCGACATTCTTTTCGGAGCGAAAAGAATGTCGATGGGCTGGTGGGTTTGTTCATTGGAACTAACATTCTGCCGGTTTTATCTTAATACTCTTGATATGACTCAATGGCACAGAAAGAGATACCTTTAAAGGTTATGATATACAATCAGATCACTGGCTACTGGCCCCGTTCGTCTTTCCAACATTCTTTTTACACTCCTCCAGTAAAGCAGGGTTCAGGTACGCGTGCGGTATTTTCGCTATTGGCTCGCATCACTACAATGTCCTACTTCTGGGGTCGGTCCATTGAACTCCTGTAGCGAAGCAAATTCTGCAATTGAACTTAAAAAGCCTGTTGAAGGCGGTTTGAGGAAAGAGGTGCAGTTTTTGGCTAACGTCAAAGGCACTTGCTGAGCGACCGCCGACCAGCTTTTATTCCGCTAAACAACCCCTTGAACATCTGATTATCGGGCACAGTGTTCGGCCTTAAGAGTGACTTAAATTAGCTAGCGTGCTTTAGAACTTGGCGAACTGTTGGAGTAATGCCGCGCATTTCTCATTCCGCATCAGCGTTGCATCTATCCACCTTGACTCAGATGGATACATCTGATAGGAGAAAAGAATCAATGGTGGCGGTACCATGGGTGGCCTAACGTAAGACGCTGAGATCGTAGAAACACCACGGTAGAAACTGAAGCAAGCAACCTTGGAAGTCTGTCTTTCGCATGCTGAGAGACTCGTCACTACTAGTCAGGGTCAATCCAACCCGTCGTTGAAGTTTGAATGGACGCGACGGATAACGGACTTGAAGAACCTCCGCAGTCCGCATGCTATCGCTGCCACTCACAGAAGCTTCGATGCGTCCAGCTTCGTGGGCAGAAACGATGCGTCCGCTGCGCTCGGGCTGGGACTGAGTGCGTGACAAGGCCGTCGAAGCGAAATCGACAAGGGAGGAAGTCAACACCGAGGAGGGAGGGAGTCTCGCCAGGTGTATTTTCGTCCTGCAACAGTCGTGCTGGTTCAAGAGGAACGCTTTCAGAGGGGTCTGGCCATGGGAAGGGAAACCTTGCTGGTGAGTGATATCTCTAGATGAATCGTCGAGCAATATTAATACAAGTACTCTATTTCAGCACACATACATGGCGGTCATGCAAGTGGGCTTATTTCCACGCCTTCGTTGGAAACCCTCAACTTCGACCATGATCTCACATTACCAACTATCAACAGTACGATGCCTTCGCCCCAGCATATGTGCTACAACCGTGGGGTGGGGCCGACAGGGATGAACTTACTCGAGACTCAAAATGGTATATTTGATCTGGCATCAGTACCTATGGAGCTGGCCAGTGAATGGACCAGTGAGCAAGTTTCGCCACAGGACAATATCGAGGATATGAGTAATACCGAGGAAGACCTAGAGAATGAATGGATTGAAACGTTGTTCAATCTCAATGCGAAACTGGGCAGAAACCAGAGAACTATCTTGAAGTTTAATCCGGCATGCGAGAAGGGCTTCATGGAGTATAAAGCGTCAAAATCGAACACAAATCTCGAATCAACCGCTGGGTGGAGACATCCAAAATTGCAACCTGCATGTCCGTTTGAAGAGACGTTTGGTCTCTCTATGCAACTCCTCCTTCTCATTGGAAATGCCTCACAGCGAAGGGTGGAGCTGGATGCGTCTGGCAATATCAATAGTTTTACAGGATTTGAGACCTCCCTTGTCAATGGGGCATATAATTCGGTAACGTCTGAGTCTCCCACATATTTGGGAGATAAAGCCAACCTTTTGCTTCTGCTGTCATGCTACACAAGGCTTCTAGGCTCTCTGTGCTCAATGCTCGAGTGTTTCAACCGCATCATCGCCACATCTAACAAAGAGTCTTCGGACCACGCAATTCGATACATTCACTCGTTTCTCCCACGTATCCAGATGGGCGAGGTGTCATTATGTGCCAGCCCGCGCTTCGATCTAGCGTTGGTGTTGAACTCAGCCGAAAGCACGTTGATTGAACTCAATAAATGCATAAGAATGAAGTTCCTAGTCAACACACTGAAAAGACCTCCAGCAGATATGCCGGCCATGCCCATGGACTGCCTTTTGGAACAGACTGAGAATACCCCATTGTTAGAGCAAGGCGATTCGACTGAATTGACGCAGTCATGGCAAACAACCATCCGTGATATGAACTCCACGGCCTTAGAGAAGATCAATATGCTGAAAAAGGCACTATGAATAGAAAATTCTGACTTGAGATATATTAGAATGATAAATCTTAATCTCTGTCATTGCCACTTACTGGACATCTGAAGAAAGCGTGTGTGAAGTAAGATGTAGCTTTGAATAATCTACCAAGTAGAATATCAGAACACACGCAGAGACTATTTTATTGTATTTGCAAGATTTCATCTTTGTAGCCCTTCCCAGATGCTGTCAAGTCTTTCGTTAGTAATTACCACAAGGAAACATGACTAGTTGTTCAAACATTGTACATGCATCGACTTATCAACCTCATCACCAAACTATGAGGCTAAATATTTACATGCGAGCTTCATACTTCTCAACTAGCTTCTTCTGGGCTAATAGACCCAAAGCCCTCACGCTATCTGCCCGAACAATCTCCAACACGGTAATTTCAACACCAATGTTGCGGCGGATCCAGTTCCGCAGCTCAATGCTGATAAGAGAGTCAATGCCCACACTAGCAAGAGGCGCATCGAGATCAACCTCTTCAGTTTCAGCCCGCATAAGGAAACCAAACAGGGTTTTACCAATCTCCCCAGCAAGCATTTCGGCTGACTCTGGAGCCTTTAGCATAGTCATATTAGATCCAATCTCCCGAAGGAACTGGGTTAGCGCCTGGCCCGACCCAGTTGAGGAGGCCACTGGACCAGATTGGACTTCGAGGTTCCGATAAACCAGCATGCGGGGGTCTTTCCTCCAGATTGTCCGATTACTCGGGGCTTCTATGGGCAAGGTTGACCGCATTCCGATACCGATCTGTGATCGGGTTACGTAAATATTCGACGCTTGATCAGCGACTGAGTGCGTTGGCGATGATCTGTGGAGCATGAGCTCAATTGACTCGAGCAATTCGGGCTCTCGCATGAGATACTGCGCAGTTGAACGCAGTGAGTCTAGGATCTCAGGATTTTGGCTGACGTATCCAATGTCTTGAATAACACCAATGTTGACAGTGGAGGCTGGAAGTCCCAGGGAATGCCGGTAGCTCACAAAGGCATCCAGAAATGTGTTACCGGCATTGTAGTTGGCCTGTCCCCATTGGCCGCTCATTGCGCCAGCTGAGCTGAAGAGTAAGAAGAAGTCTAATATTTCCTCGGGCTGTTCACTGAGGAGTGCATTGTGAAGATTCCAGGTTCCTTGAACCTTGGGCTGAACAGCAGCCTGCCACTCATCCCATTTCATCTCCAAGAGGGAGTTGTCCTGGAAAATTCCTTGTTAGTGTGTCATTAAAAGAAGCAAGGTGTTAAAATCACTAACCCGAAGCACCATGGAAGATTGCAGAACACCCCCAACAGGCTTGCCGGAAGCCCGGATTGCCCGAACCACGTCCTCGTGCTTAGAAACATCACCAGAGACCATGTAACTCTTACAACCAAGCACCGCTAGTTCCTGAACAAATGGATCATCAACGGGAATACTACCAGCTGATCTTGACAAGAACACAAGATGGCGTGCTCCATGCTCCACCAGCCAAGTCGCAATTGAGCGGCCCAAGCCACCGAGTCCACCAACAAACAAGTAGGCTCTATCATGGCGCAATGATAATTCCTGCCGAGATGGCTCGGCTGGAAGATCTGTACTAATTTCTGGCATGGTAATGACGATCTTGCCTATATGCTGCCCGCGCTGCATGTGACGAATTGCGTCAACAATCGAGACAGCCTCAAACGTCGTGGTCGGCGTGATAGGGTGGATGAAACCAGCACTACAGTAGTCCATTGCACGAGTCATGATGCTATGCGGAAAGGGTTAGTCTGTTAGTTTTGCGCAGCAACAGCTGTAGCATACCTTTCAATTCTCTCTGGTCTCTTTTCGGAGAACAGAAGAAGATCAAACCCGACAAAGCTCCTGTTCGGCTCAAAGGGTTGCATATCAAGCAATCCTTGACCAACAAAATCGCTACGACCAATCTCGACAAATGTGCCAAATTGCGCTGTACATTTCCAGGAAGCGTGCAAAAGCTCACCCGAAAGGGAGTTCAACACCACATCAACTCCGACACCATTGGTTTCTTCCATCAGACGTGGAAGGAACTCTTTAGTGCGAGAATTAAAGATGCGATTGCGCGGAATATTAAACGAGCTCATGAGAGCCTGAGCTTTCTTTTCACTTCCGACGGTAGCATAAATCTGCAAGAACTGAGGTTAGCCAAAGTGGAAAACACACTGATTTCGGAGGAGTTTTCTGAATCTCACCTCTGCACCAACCATTCGCGCAATATAAAGAGCTGCCATGCCGACACCTCCGCTTGCAGAATGAATGAGAACCGATTTCCCTTTCCGCAAGCCACCAACATCGAGGAGACAATGGATTGCAGTACAGTAGACTGCCGACATCGTAGCGCCCTCTTCATAGCTAAGGAAGTCCGGCATCTTAACACAGAGACGCTGATCAAGCTTCTGGATGGTAGTGAGAGATCCGCTTGAGCTCATAATAACTCGATCACCAGGCGAAAGTTTGTCCACTGCGGATCCAACTTCCAGAACAAGACCACTTCCTTCATATCCAAGACCTCGGCCGATGGATGACTTCTCGGTGATTACTCCGGTACTGATGAGAACATCCTGTTTGTCAAGGGTTAGCAAGACTTCCACTGCACAGTTATGTTGCTCTTGTTACATACCTTAAAGTTCATACCGACAGCTTTGACTTGAACCAGAACATCATCTGGGTCCAGCCCATGAGAGACTGGCATATCCTGCCAACATAAGGTATCGACAAGACCAGCCTTAGTCTGCACCAACTTTTTGACAGAAGGCTTTTCTTCAGCTGCCTTATTCTTCAGCTCCTCGTCAACCTTGATGTAGTGATATCTGCTGATCAAGGGGCTCTGCCCAACAACAGCCCACTCTGTAGTTGTATTGATATTCTGCTCAGAGAGGCGACGCTGGAACTCTCCCAAAACCTTTGGCATGAGAGCTAGAGTGTCTTTCTCAAAGCTTTCCAGCTCTAGAGTTGCAAAATCTAGATTCATCTCCGTGCGGATGACGCGAGCAACCCCGTTCACCATCGCATACCTTGGGTCTTTGCAGCCTACCTGACAAGCCCCAGTAACCCACAAGATTCCGCTTTCAGTTTCCTGCAAGTGAGAAAGTAGAGTCTTCAGATTTTCGAATTCAGGTTGCTCCAAGTGGTGGAAGAATGGCCCGCCAAGGTCCAAAATGGAGACAATGTCCTGTCCAGTGGGTGGCAGTGTAGTTGTATCTTCAATTACAAGGAGATCAACTTCAAATCCCGCTGAATAAAGAATCTGATTGGTGGTAGAAATTGCAGAAGAAGGGCTTTTGACAGAGTGCAATAGCGTGATGTGCTTTGGTCGTTCCTTCTCTTGGACCCGTCGAGAAATGATGTTGTTGTTGAGATACCCGTCGTGGCTTACCAGTTCAACGCCGAAGAAACCAGTCTTGTTGAGTAGAGACTCCCATCTATCAATAGAGATGTAGGGCTCCGGATAACGATCATCCTGTTCTCCCAACCACCAGCCAGGAAGAACACCCATCACGTAGTTGATCCATTTCGTATCTATGCGAGAGTTAGGTATTTGTGATGGGCACCATCTATTAGGGCAGAGAGGTAACGTACTTGGTGACAGCTCTTGAAGAAAAAGTCGACCTTGAGGGTGAAGTAACTTGCGCACATTCGCAAGAGACTCTTGAAGAACGGGTGTCGCATGCAGAACCTGAAACATGTGTTAGTAAAGTATCATGGAGTTGAAAAATTATTTAGCTTACATTGCATGCAATGACCAAATCAAATGACTCGGCTTCAAAGCCCTGGGCGAGGGGATCCTCCGAGATATCCAGCGTTGCGAATTTCATTTCGGGGTAGCTCTCGAATCGCTTCTTCGCTGCCGGGAAGAACCCTGCACTGATATCCGTGTATGTGTAGGAGTGATACATCCTCTCTCCATAAAGAGATTGCAAAGCGGGAAGGACCGTGGCAGTTGTACCTCCTGTACCAGCACCTATCTCCAACACTCTCAGGTTTGGTTTCCGGTGTGCAAGGAGCTCAAGGAAGACTTTGTATTCGGAGTTTTGCATGAAGTCATAGAGTGAATGAAGTACTTCGTCTTCCAAAAGCAATCCAAGTTCTTCGACTTCACCGGTAAAGATACCCTGGCATTCTTTCCAGATTCGATAAATAGCTTTTGCAGCTGCGCAAGCTTCTGTCCGAAGGAGAATAGGATATAAACCTTCGATGATTTCCAAGCGCCTGGACTCTGAAGACTGAGAAATTTCATCGCTTCGCTGTAATCCAGGGTATTTGCCAAGTCGGATTTGGCCTGCTGTCGATGCAATCCATTTTTGATAATGGCATAGATGTGGTCTGCTTGGCTCAACACCCTGGAGACGGGTAACGGTGTCGATAATACAGGCCGAAGCAAATCTATCCAAGCTGTGGTGCACCTCACGTCGGTCTTTGGCGGGACGAATAAGCCTATGTGCATCCGTAATAAGGTTAATATCTTCACGCCATTCTAGCTCGACTGCGGCATGTGGATTCTGCCCGGAGGCATAGGCCGCATCACCAATTGCAGACATCTGCAAGCCTTTGATATCGATGGTGACTTGGCCATTTGCAACTGCTATGATGTTACCCGAGAGAGCTGCTGTGGGTTGCTCATCGGCATGAGCCTCAATCACCATCTCCGACTGAAGTGGAGGACAAACGTAGATTTCTTCCATGTAAGTCGGAATTCCAAGATGTTGGAATCTTCTCGTGAGACCATTAAAGGTAGCAGGGACGATGGCTTGAAGGAGACAATCGAGAGACACTGGGTGAACTGCATACTGAGATTCACCTTCACGGTTATCATTCACCACAGTGGCAATAGTTTTGCGCTCAATAGGATGGGCAGTCATCTCAGTCAGACCCATGAACCGAGACCCATATTCAAGACCCATTTCCTTCATCTTTCTGTACCAGCCACGTCGCGACAACTGGCGAGGTAGGGGCTCCAACGAAGGTATGCGGTGCTCTCGATCCGAGCCCGCAGAGACCTGGCCGAAAATGTGCTTAACCCAGACTCCCTTATTGTAAGAATGCACCGTGAAATTGTACCACTTCGATTCCACAGTGTTGGTGAATGGGATCCTTTGTAGCTGGGTGATGACTTCCACGTCTTGGCCCTGATGCATGACCAGTGCAGCCTTGATGTGCACTCGACGAGCAGTAAAAGCACTGTCCCTAGTCAGTTGTCGAATAGCCTCTCCGGCCATACAGATATATCCAACACCTGGGAAGACAATGTCACTGGCCACTTCGTGCTCCTTGATCCAAGGAACCACGTCCAGACGGAGGATATTACGCCAGCTTGGGTTTTGATCCGTGCTTTCAAGAACACGCGAACCAAGCAGATCATGATGTGGAAACTCTCGAAGTCGCCATTCCTTGGCCAGGCGACTCTCAGACCAGAGTGGCTCCTCATAATGCCAGGGGTAAAGAGGTAAATCTGGTAGGAAACAACCTCGTTCCGAAATGGCACTCAAATCCACTGGCATATTTTGCAGCCACATCTCACCAACGGCATTTAGCAAATCCTTATGGGAGTCACTGCCCCGGGTCAGCGTGTTGAAATATTCATCGGTTGATTTGTGCATTTGCAAAATTTGTCGAATAGGCCCAGCCAGGGCTGAATGAGGTCCAACTTCTAAGAAGACTTTGGGTCCAATTAGAGACTGCATCAGTTCTGAAATGGCAGTCAAAAAGCGGACTGGAGACACAAGGTTTCTAGCCCAGTACACAGGGCCGAGGTCTTGACTTTGGGTCACTTGTCTGCCAGTCACACTGGAGAAGAATTGGGCTGAGGGATTCATAGCTTTAACTCCCTGGGTGCTAAGAAGATCCACATATTGAGGTGCAACGGTTTCCATATGATCTGCAAAGATTCAGTGAGTAAATTATTTCCCCGCGTTCTAATTGTATCACTTACGAGAATGGTAGGCTCGGTCAACCTGAAGTGCACGAACAAATGATTCTGGATTGGCCTCCTTAATAGCCTTCAAAGCCTCATCCAGAGGGGCCTTGTCACCAGTCAGAGTTATACTGTTGGGGCTGTTTTCACATCCCACCAAAACTCCTGGTCGCAAATACGGTGCAACTTCTTCGGCCCCCAAGCCAACAGCAGCCATGCCCCCGGGGCGCTCTACCGGATTCAAGCTACACATCACTCGGCCACGATAGAAGGCAATTTGAATAGCATCCGCTGCGCTAATAGCGTGAGAGGCATACGCAGCACTAATCTCACCACTAGAATGACCCACTACCGCATCTGGATGAACTCCATAATGGTTTAAGAGGTCAACTAGAGCAATTTGAATGGCGGTACAGCAAGGCTGTGAGAACTCTGCCTTCGAAAGCTGGCAAATCTTCTTGGGCTTTCGGATCTCGTCTATGTAAAAGGTTAGCCGCAATGCCTGTTCATATAAAAGAAGTGGCTTGTTAGATTATGATGGAGAAGAGGGCTGACTTACCTATCAACTTCCACTGTGGGGGATCACTGAGTGCCTGAAGCACCTTATCCAACTTTTCAATGCTGTGCCGGAATTGAGGCACTTGGTCAATGAGCGATTTGCCCATCTGAGGCCACTGAGCGCCCTGTCCAGTAAAAGTAAAAACCAACATCGGAGGCGCTCTTCCACTAATACGATGAGTCCTGGATTGCACCCAATCATCCTCACCATTGGTGACACAAAAGCTGCGATGAGAAAGATCATCCCGTTTGTGAGCAAGAGAGTACGCCATATCCTGGAGCGACTCCGGATGCGAGAGAAAGTACGCTTGATGGTCAGTAATCATCCGCTTCAGCGATTGTTGGTGCTTGGCGGAAAACATCAACAAGTGTGGTGTGAGGTCCGCCATTAGATTCTCGGCTTCCTCGCAGGCCGCGATCTTCTTTTGTGTCGACTCAATCCCGAATGAGGCAGCGGAGCCTAGTAGCACCTGACCTTTGAGTCAATCTGGCTGTTCTATCGCAACTCATCAGTTTACCTTGTATACTCACATGGGCATTCGATCCTCCGATACCGAATGAGTTAACCCCGACCAGCTCTGCCCGATCTTTCGGCCAAGGGAGAGGCTCGGTCGGCACCTTCAGCTTACATCGTTCAAATGGAACTGAGATTTTCAATTAGTCTTTAGTATTGAGATACCACGTTGGAGAATCAAGCGCACTCTTAGGGTTAGGGGTCGTGAAGTTTAGATTAGGAGGAATGGTTTGTCGTTCAAGAGCCAAAGTCATTTTGATAATGCTTGACAGACCCGATGCACCTTCACTGTGACCCAAATTGGTTTTGACCTGGTAAGTATTAGCATGTTGCAAACCCATAGAGCTCTGTGCATTACTAACTGATCCAATATAGATCCCATGTTTGCCGAATACGTTGGCCACGGCGGCTGTTTCGATGGGATCACCAACCTGAAGGCGCGTTAATAGCTTCACATAAAGAGATTTGGCCAGAAACTGGTGATATTAGTGATACTTACTGCTGTTCCAGTACCATGACACTCAATCATTGCAGTTCGGGAGAAATCTGTGATACCGGCCAGCTCATGACCACGACGAATGAGTGCTTCGTGGGCAGTAGTATTTGGAGCTGTGAGTGTTGACGCTTTGCCACCTGCATTAATGCAAGTAGATCTGATTACCGAGCAAATAGGGTCTCCACCACTAATAGCGTCGCTCAGCTTCTTAATGTACACGGCTGAAACGGCCTCACCACGAGCGTAACCATCAGCATTGGCATCAAAGGTCTTGCAAAATCCGCTAGGAGAAATGACACCTTGCTCCTGCATGGTGATTGAAGTTCGTGGGGAATAAATGATATTTGCGCATGCCACAATGGCAGACTCGCAATCCCCAGCCGCAATAGCGTGGCAAGCATCGTATATTCCTGTGAGGGAAGATGAGCATGCCGTACGGATAGTCACACTAGGACACTCGATGGGTTAATGACTTCCTTCGGTATCAAAGTACTTCCCGAGAGAAGGGCATACATACCTGGGACCCGTCAAACCAAACTCGTAGTGAATGCGGTTCGCGGACATGTAATCACCGTATCCAGTAAGACGGTACATGTGATAATGTTGAGGATCCCTTCCATCTAGTTCGAGCCAGTCTCCCTCGAAGGTACCGAGATAGACACCGATTTTGCGCCCACGAAGCTCTTGGGGCCGCTGGCCAGCATTTTGGAGACACTCATACGTGACCTCCAGAGAAAGTCGCTGTTGAGGATCCATCGCCTCAATTTCTTGCTTTGTCATTGACCAGAAAGAAGCATCCGCGTTCCGTAGGTCTACATCATCTAAGAAGTAGCCGTACTCACTTGCGACATGTCCGATCTTCCCTGGCCCGTACCAGTTCTCAACATTGTATCGGTCTTTGGGCACGCGACATCTGCCGCTGCGTTTATTGTACAGAAGGTCCCAGAAGCCTTCAGCATCATGAATACCACCGGGTAGACGCATGGCCATTCCACAAATAGCCATGGGCTCCACCAAGGGCTCCTTGTCGCCCTCTGGGATTGGGATGGAGGGTTGCTGAGAACATCTCGAACTTGTTTCGCTGGGGGTTGGCACGATATTTGAATGCGAGGAAGAGGTTTCATTGTCGCTCACCTCTCGTGCGTGCATCGTTGGTAGGCAATGATCCGTAAACCAAAACACGCAATATAGGTATTATCAATATAGGTATGGTGGAACGGGCCGAAAAGAGTTCTAGGCTGATTTCATATCAAGGCTAGAGGAGAAAAAGGTCCGAGTCCAACAAATCATATTATATATACTTATACTCCGTATACTACGATCGGAATATTGGAATTGGCCCCCATTTCTTAGGTCTCAGGTCTCAAGGCGTCATGAATCATGATCTTGGAGACCGATGTTCGGTGATCCGAACGGTACTCGGACGGCCGAGTCTCCAGATGTCAGCAAACGCAAAACGCTCAGCTTATCACACTATATACTTCTAAAGTATCATTGAAGTCTTCCTTCGAATGAATCCGAAAACTGAGCTTCATGTTTTAGCATCTTATATTCTAGATTTAGCCCACGTCTCACCATGACGACCATCTCTCAACCACCCGGTCTATACATCACTGGGCTGGGACACCAGTATCCTCCTTATCTTCTGGGACCTGGAGAACTTGATAAGTTTGCCGCACGCTTTTATGATGTAGAGCGCCCTGGGTAAATATTAGCCCTCTGATATTTTTCAAGATGTAGGCTCTAACAAAACGCATGCAGAATCAAAAAGCTCCTGCAAATCAACCGCTCCTCCGGCATCGAAACACGCGCCGCTATCCGATCATACGAAAACGGATTCGCAGCTCAGTCCATTGCGCCATCAATCAGTGATATCGATCAGTTCTATCGAAACGTCGGAGTCGATCTTACCAGCCAAGCTTGTAAGAAGGCACTGCGCGAGTCTCATATTCGTCCTCAACAAGTTACCCATACGATCGGAGTGACTTGTACTAATCAAGGTAACCCAGGATATGATCTTCTAGTGAACCGCAAACTCGGTCTTTCCCCCAATGTTGATCGTATGCTATTGCATGGCGTTGGATGTGCGGGTGGGCTGGCTATCATGAGAGCTGCAGCACAAATAGCCTGTGGTGCTAGTATGCGACGAAAGCCTGTTCGCATTCTCGCCTTTGCATGCGAGTTATGTACCCTGAATGTCCGACACGATCTCGAGGCCGCCGAGAAATCTGCAGATTCGGATAACATTAGCATCGCGGGGGCCTTATTCTCGGATGCTGCAGCCGCCTTCGTTCTTTGTAATGAGTATGCGATGGTAGCAGAAGAAGAAGAAATTACACCCCTATTTCAATTATTAGAATGGGGAAACGGCCTGGTCCCTGATACTTTGGAGCATATGGCATTCTTTGCCGATGTTGACGGTCTGTCGATGCCTCCTCTCCATCAACGTGGACATTTGAAACAATACTAATTTTTTGGATTTGTAGGCTACCGAACCGTGTTGACTCGTGATGTTCCGCAATACACCAAGAACGCGATCGGTCCAATGTTCAACCAGCTGCTTCCTTCATACCAAAATCAGCTTGGATCCGGTCATGAAGTGGAGGGAGAGCCAAAGGGAGAGCCCCTTGGTGTTAGCGACTTTGACTGGGCACTTCACCCCGGCGGAGAAGCTATTATCGAGGGCGCAAAGCAGGTCCTGGAACTGACAGAGGATCAGCTGAAGGCTAGTCGAGAAATCTATCGTACTCGTGGGAATTCATCTAGTCCGACAGTTCTGATTGTCCTTGATCGACTTCGGTCGTTGAGCAAAAAGGAGCATATTGTTGCTACCTCTTTTGGTCCTGGACTTACGATTGAGATGGCAATGTTGAGGAGGTGCGATGCGGATGACAGCTGAGTCAATTAGAATTTATGGTCATATTGACATAGATTGGATTAGTTCTGTTTGTCTAGTCTTTGCGCATGATGTTTGCTATGTGAAAAAGCTCCATGCAAAGAACATGTTTCGTATTTTATATCTCAGAATGACTTGCAAATGTTGTAGTAAAGTCCCAATCACTAGAGCGAAAGGGTTCAATGTAAATTGAATCCTTCCAAGGCGATATCAATCAAAAGCGCACAGCATACTCCGTGTAAAGCCAGGTGCATCAAAGGCGACGAAAATACAGCTTTGACAAGACCTTTTTCAACATTTTGCTGCTCATATCTGCTCGAGATACGTCTAATAGTAGACTGAAACGGTAATTTAAAATGAACACCAAGCCTACTGATGGCTCTGATTGCAGGTGCGACATGATAGATTGCAAGGGCACCCGCAATGCGTTGTTTCAGTATCTTCGGATGAGAATCATGAGGATCGGTCTTGGCTCGACGTTCTATATCAACCATAACACTGATCAAGATGAGGCTAGTCACTGCTAGCAGCACGGCATACTGTCTGATGACTGGCGAAGCGTAAGGCTGAGGCTTTGACAGGGTGTTTGAAGGGGAATAGAGGAATCCGAAGATGGCAGGGATCTCGATAAGAATGTGCAAGTAGAACCCCAACATTTCCAGAATAAATCGTTTTATGGAATCTGTAATGGATGGATTTGAGATTCATATTCTGATCCCCGACCACACTGAAGAGTTCGTTCCAAATTCATCTTAGATTTTGGGACATTCGGATTACCGATCGTACATTCGGTAGTCGGTCGGTCGGTCAAACGGGCTTGGGGTTTACCTTCAAGACGGGGGCCTAAAAGCATGGTCCACGTCAAGGGCACTTTTCAAAATTGAGATGTGAGAGTCAAACTTGTGCTCCAATAAAATATTTTGCTACGGAGTAACCCCCTGGTGTAACCTCTAGCCTGTATTCTGAGGTTGACTTCGATGTTGCAAGATTACTAGAGACCTCATAGGCTGCTGCTCAGATGAGAAGCAGAACAGCAAATTATACTACAAAGGATGCGCTAAGTCTAGAATTACTTGCTTTTTTTAAAAAAAAAAAGAAAAATAAAAAGAAAAAAAAAAGAGTTGGATTGATGCTAGTGAAATAATAGAATATTTCCAAGTGTTTGGTAGTAAAGTATAGCCGTGTAACTCAATGCAAAGAGCGTAACTGTGCCCTGCATTCTCATTCGATGAATCGCCCAAAAAGTTGCGATGGAATCATTTTGTTAGACTCACCCATACACCTTGGCCAACAGAGCAAGTGAGGGTCAAATGCTCCCTCCATGGTGCATCATTGTCATGGCCTCCTATGTTTGAATACTCCTGCAGCAGGCGAACTAAAACATAGCTCGTCTCAACCAACGCAAATTGCTGACCTGGAATTGGAACCAATATTAGCTCCCAGGCTATGGCAATATTGGGTATTGAATGACAACTTTGGTTGACGGCCAATTTAGCAAACCACATACCTGGACAAATCCGTGGTCCCGCGTTGAACGGCAAATATTCAAAAGTAGGCCTCTTAGTTTCCCAACGCTCGGGGCGGAATATGTGTGCATCAGCACCCCACAAATCCTCCCTTCGATGCATAGAGTAAACTTGATATACTACAAGTTGACCTTTGGGAATGAAGGTGGGCGCCATACCGTCCGAGCCACCACCGCGAGGGAGTACTGTATCGTTTTTGGCCACACGTGCGTTGAGTGGTACCGGAGGATACATGCGCAGGGTTTCTTTAACGAAGCTATTGAGAAAGCTGAGATCTTTCAACTCCTCGAAAGTGGGATGACGACCGTTTAAGATCCCCTCAATCTCCTGGCGAAGCTGGGCTTGATACTCGGGTCTTCGGGCAAGTTCAAAAACTGCGGCGCTCATGAGGCACGCAGATGTATCACGAGCAGCAACCACTAAAATCAGTCAGCCCCCAGTATTATATGTGTGAGAGTGTCGGAACTTACAGATGTTCAAAATTTGGTCGCGAATCAGCTTAGGCTCCACCCCTTCTCGGGCAAGAGCATTCAAAAAGGTGTATCTCTCCTCCTCAGTATCCTCTGATTTCTCAGGCTTCTCCGATCTTTGGACGTGCCATTCTTTGGCACGGTCAACTGCCTTCGCCACAATTGCATCAACATAGTTGTGCACAAACTTACAAGCATTGGTGTACTGCGGATCGTAGTAGAACCGGGCAAATCGACCTAATCGAATACGCTGTGCGATCCCATCTATTCCACGATCAAATGCCCAGGAGAACTTTCGGGCTATATCAGTAGCACTGGGAAGAAGCACATCACTCGATTCACTGAATAGAACATCGGTACCAGTATCCAAAGTCTGGATACAAAGACGGAGAAATCAGCAGGTCAGAATGGTGATTAGATTTAGAGAGGCTCACAAATCGAAACACCCATTCCTGAATATCCACTTTGGTACCATCAGTTGGCATGGCCTGAAACAAACGCTGAACATGTTTCTCGAAGAGGCCCAAGTCAGCGACCTGCTTCCGGGTGAAATTCGGTCTGACCAACGCACGACCGTGTTCCCAAGTTTGACCATCTGCGTTGAACACGCCAATTCCCAGTAACTCAGCAGAGTTATCCCGACGCCGTTGGCCAATCTCAAAATCTTTGAACTTCGTCACTAAAACTGCTTGGACGTTTTTGGGCTCATTGGTGAAAACCACATAGTCGCCCATCAGATTCACGCCAAAGGTGGATCCCACTTCTTGGAACCATTGCTGGAACTGTTCAAGATATCGGCTATTATGAGCTGCTTTCCCAAGACGGAAAAAATGGTCTAGCCCCAGAATAGGATCTTTTGAAGGTGCTGTACGCAGACTTTGGCATCCATGGCTTTTATGGAATCGCCGATACCGTAGATACCAAGATATGGACTGCCAAATGATTCGGGTGAGGCCGAGTACTACGGCACATAAGAACACCGTAGTCAAACTGTTATAAGTCATGTTTATTTTATAAATTCTTTTTCCCAATGGAGGCCATTTGTCCTGGAACAAGTTACTGTATACTCTCGGAGTATGCTGGGCAATGGACAAAGAAATAGGTTCGGTATTCGGACATCCGACTTCCGAATGAATATACATCCCTATCCTAGTTCATCCTTTGTCTTCCAAGTGGGATGCATTTCTCCCCTTCTATTCGACTCGGATTAATGGTTATGTCTTCAGCTTCTTCTCCGTATAGGTGGCGCTTTTTGAGAGAATCGCTAAGTCGACTTTTCCATCCTGATGAAGTCCAATCCCTCACCGACCGAGCCTCCAGTTGAGGCAGGACAAAATGGCAACTCACAGCCTGAGTATCCAAAGACAACGTTTGGCTTCAGGTTCTGGCTTGCATTCTGGGCAATTGCCTTCACAAATCTCGCAGCTTCGTTCGATGCAACTATGCTATCCGTTGCCCTTCCGGTATCTAGTATCCCCCAGTGAAACTCCACCTCCCAATGAGTCTTTCGCTAAGACTCCATTTCTATAGACCATTGCCGGAGATCTAGGGGGATCAACCACTGAAGCTTTCTGGGCCGGAACCTCCTACCTCCTCGCCTGCACCATCTTAATGCTGATATGGGTAACGTTCAGCGATGCTTTCGGTCGGCGGCCAATCATGCTCATTGCACTACTCATCTTCGCCGTCGGGGCCATCATCTCTGCTGTTTCGCATGATTGGCCAACAATGCTAGCAGGTCGAACGGTCCAAGGACTCGGTGGCGGAGGGATAATTTCACTTACAACAGTCCTGATAACTGATCTAGTCCCATTACGGGACCGAGGTCGCTTTTATGCCCTTGTCAGTGTGGTTTGGGCAGTGGGGAGCTCTACAGGCCCTATCATTGGGGGTGCACTAGCTCAATCGGGGTCATGGCGTTGGATCTTTTGGATTAATCTACCCATTGTCGCTGTCGGTGTCATTGGAATTGGATGTTTTCTGCGTCTTTCACGTCGCCGTCGCACGCTTTCCGAAAAGCTACACTTGTTCGACTATCCCGGTTCATTTTTATTCATCGCCTCTATCACTGCATTCTTGATCCCAATCACTTGGGGTGGTATTCAGTATCCTTGGTCTAGCTGGCATACCCTCGTGCCGTTAATCCTCGGTGCTGTGGGTCTCATTGGCTTGGTAGTGTACGAGGTTTTGATCGCAAAATCTGCTGCTGTACCAAAAAAGACTCTTCTGATTCCACCGGAAGTCTTACCGAACTGGACTTGTGGTATTCTCTATGCGGCAAGTACCTTCCATGGCCTTATCCTCTATAGTATGGTATACTACATGCCCGAATATTTCCAGTCTGTGAAAGGATACAGCCCCGTGATTGCTGGCGTGGCCGCGCTCCCACAGACGGTTACGGTCGTTCCCTGCGCTATCCTAGTAGGTATTGTTGTCGGTCTCACAGGTCGGTATCGATGGGCACTCTGGATAGGCTGGCTACTGACCTGCTTCGGCCTTGGGCTGCTCATTTTGCTCAAGGCAAACACGACTGTTGCGCAGTGGATATTTTTGGAGGCCGTGTCTGGTCTAGGAATCGGGCTACTTTTTCCATCTATTGCGCTCGCGGTTCAATCATCCGTTCCACAGCGCGAAGTTAGCATGGCCGCCACGTTAGTTCTATTCTTCAGGTCAATGGGGCAGACAATTGGGGTCGCAATTGGTGGTGCTATTCTTGACAATCAACTCCCAAACCATCTCTCTGCTGCAGTATCGAAAGAGGCCACCAGTCAGTTACAAGGTCAGGCGATGAACTTGGTCACTTTGGGCGAGTTGTTGAGGAGACTACCAACCGGCTCGTTTGAGGCAACTGAGATCCGGCAGGCACTAGTTAACTCATTCCAGATCATCTGGGTGGTGATGTGTAGCTTCGCAGGTCTCAATCTTATATTGAGCATCTTTATCAAAGAGTTCGATATGAATCAGAGCCACGAGACGGAACAGGGATTCGTGCATACAGTACACAACACTACAGCTAAGAACAAGTCGGATAATCAGTAATTGACGCCTTAGAATGATATTCCTCACTAGACTTTGATCATTTATGAACTTTCGACTACATCCACCAGAAGATGTTTGTGTATAACTTATTGTTCTAACTTGCGTAATAAGGTAAGAACCTGTGATAATACACTTTGAGCGACCTTTCCCCCCCCTCTGTTAAAGTCGGCTGCGAAGCCGCTCACTCAGTACAGAGCTTACCATCTCAGGTTCCTTGCTTCTCCTTTCCGTCCAAAACGTCTTTATCTCCGCCCAATATTGATCAGCATGATCCCTCACCAAGGCACAGTGCGGACTATCTGGAAATGCAATACCCTCCACCGCACATCCCAGGAGAGATTTAGCCTCCCTCTTATGAGACTCCACATCCTCCCACCCAACCATTAGATCAGCTGTAGAATACAAATATAATCTAGCAGCTGAGGCCCCAAAAACTTGAGGGTCATTCAGCTGTTTCCGCAAGTCCCGTACAGAGCTCATCCATCCAGTCATCTGAAGACCATTGATAAGCCCAATAAAAGGGTACAGTAGCAGTTTCCCTACCATTTGGCCTGGTAAGGAGCGCGGAAGAGATAGCGCCGCGGCCTGATAAGCCCGGTCAAAGGATGTATCCCCGGGACAGCAATCAAAGATAACAACACCGAGATATTTCCTGATCTCGAAGGAAGAGTGGTTCGAATCCGTGCATAGCGATAGAGCTAGCTGGATAGCAGTGTTGCACCCACCATGAGAGAAAATGTGCAGGAGAATAGAAGGAGGATTTCCCTCTGCTGTGGAGCTGTTCAATTGCCGGATCACGTCGCGGGCGGGGCCTAATCGCGCGTGGAGGACACTGAATGGAAGAGCACTAATTTCCAGTATGCGCGTAGTGATAAGTAGAATGGCGGAGTCGGGGTAGAGGGATCGATAGCCATTTATGTATTTCTGGATGCGCTGGGGTGTTGCGCCTCCGAGCCACGTACAGAGTGTTATCAGGGCAGGAGAGTCCGTCGGATTGGGATTGGGATGGGGAATTGATGGTTGGTACAAGTAGATATCCTTGCCTATAGGCTGTAGGGGATGGAAATGAGATGTCATGGCTCGTTTTTATTTTTGTGGTGGTTTAGTGATGGAAGTATCGTAGCAATAAGTTAAGTGTTGAATGAAATGTATCTGGTTGTTGGGAGCGTGGGGGTCAAGAGCGGTGGCCTATAGATTACTACTATTGCAGCAAGATTATCGAGATATATCAAAGTAGATGATGGAGAGTTGATTCTGCCAATAAATAGTGAAGGAGTTGGCTGTTAAGTTATAGATCGCGGTTGAACACCTGACTTAGGCGGTAGAAAATTGGTCAAGAATGAATTGAGTTTGAGCCAGTTCAATCCAGCCACAGGGGGCATGTACATAGACAGAGTCAAATCAGATAGCAGGATGGGCAAAAACTGCCTTGGGTATCTTTCGCAAGCGGAACCAAGTCAGGTGAGATTCAAGCACTGAGGGACTTTAGTAATTAGATTTGTTTAGTTCATCTGTTGGACCCTGAAGGTTTGTTGATTGAACATCACCAACCCTTAATAAGTTCCAAGTGAAACGTAGGGTAGCCAGGAATTGTCTGCCTAGGGGTACAAACCAACGGCATAAGGAGAATATTTCCGGCAATATGGCGAAGACATTTCCTGATTAACTGAGCAATATCCATGGTTGTTTGCGGTACAGTAGGTAGATATCCCTGTCGAAATTGGGCCCCGGGCAAAAAAGGAGACCACACAATTGGGATTAGCTTTCCGGAAGGTAGGTGACATCCTGAAACATACATACAGGCTGTCATCAGGAAAAGGAGGCACAGACACAGTTCTTGTAATTATATTACATAGCGCTACATAGCATTCTTACATATATCTATAAAAACCCACAGGTCTATTCGTCATCCAGTTGTGCATATCACTTCAGGCCTCCCCTCCCGTCTTACACCACAATACATATATTACTGTACCCTATGGACATCATGTCAAAAGAAAAATGCTTGATGACATGTCGGCATCTTGAAAGAATATATCAATACATTCGGTTTACCGTATTGATATACATCATACTCTCAGCGGACCAATGTGATGCAGGTGCCGAAGGAAAGAAGGTAATAACTCTACTGTAAGACCTGGACGCTGATAGGCGACGCTGGAGAAATATTTGCCGCCGGAGCTTGTAACATGGATAGTGTCATGGTTTCAAACGAGCTGTTTTGCTATCAGATGTACTCTTCAAGTATAGAAAGGTAGTAGGATAAATATGTTACCGCTACCTTGACCACTTCAGAGCATCTTAGTACACAAGATATATTCTATTGGTACAAGGGCAGCATTTTCAAGGTACTGGGATGCATATAGAAGTTCACATATTTGATATTAAATGAAGAGAAGAGTTAACATGATGACGAACAGGCACCATACACTTCGAATATGGCAATTCCTATGTTTGCATACTATATATGGAATATGAGCAGATCCCCATTGACTGTAATGGTGAACATAAGCAGGGAAGATTGAAAAACAAAAAAGAAAGGAAAAGAAAGAAACAAAGAGGTATCTCGCCTCATTTGTCTTACGGGTGGAGCAGAAGGAACGAGGGCCACAATTCCCCGTTTTATTGATGATCATATGTTTTTGAGTGGGCAAAAAGCCGACGACTGTCTAAGATGCTACAGGGGAGAATAGATCTTTGTGCAACTCTAGCGTGGTGCCTTTTATTGAGGTTAGTGTTCTCATGCTACTCGCCCCTCTGCTCACCATCTACTCAGTGATTAGCTCAGGACACTCAGGGCATGCTCAGGTCTACTCAATGAGCAAAAGATGGCTAGGGGTGGGCACTAAAACGGAAAGGAAAAGCCTTCCAGCCGTGTAGAAAACCCGGCATAGGTATATCCTAAGATATACTGAAATACGAGATCCTTGAACAAATTTCATTATAGTCATCAATAATTGAAATCTTCATATACTACGTCTTTCCCGACAAGCCAATTCAACGCCGAATTCTTCAAGGAAGGACCACCACAGAAGTACCACACATCTGCCAAGGACAAATCTAAATCTTTGGCTTCCATTCGGCGACGTTCGACTCGTGCTTCAGATGCGACCAATGTCGCCAATTGTTCAGTAGTCTTCTCATCCCGTGGCTCAGGCCCAGTTATGAAAAGGCTTGTGACGAGGGGTAATTGAGGGAATCGACTGAATGTATCCAAAATCAGACCGAGGTCGCGAATGGAAATAGACCATAGTAAACGTAAGTGACTGATATCAATATCCGGGAGTTGTGCGAGAAGTGGCGTAATTCCGATACCCCCGGCGATAAAAGGAAGTTTGTCATGCTCGCTTGGTGCTTTCAAATAGAAGTCACCGCCGAAGCCTTTCAAAGGCACCTCCAAACCCGCTCGCTCGTTGGTCCTGAAAAGGTAATTGGTTACATTACCGTGCCTCCGAGCAGTTATCTCAAACTCTGTAGAGCGGTTATGTACTGGATACGACGAAATTGTGAAAGTTCGGACATAGTCATCGTTGATACTCGATGGATCGTCATCTTTCATGTGGCTATACCCCATGTCCAACTCTTCTTGGAATGAAAGAGTAGCATATTGCCCAGGCACCCATGTCCCAATCTTCCACGGATCTGATATTTGGAAACGAAATCGGCATATTGTCGGGGTAAGTAATTCCTTCTTTACCAACATAGCTGTAACAGATGACTTTTCATCTCCTATAGCAGCAGGACTAGCCTTTTCTGTGGCTAAATATCGTACACTTGGATTGTATGGAGATTTTGCTCCTTCAACGCCTCGAAATGCTAATGATTTCTCTACGTATCGCGCTGCAGTGACAGTCACTTTCACGGCTAGGTTTGATCGTGGAAGGAGAGCGGCTGCCCTTTCTCCTATGAAGATCTCAGTTTTTCCGGTGAGGTATAACGCATTTCCTGTTTCAAAATCCGGAAAGACAAACCCCGCCAAAGGCGTTGTTTGAAGATTGCCTAGAGTTTGGTACAGGCGATTCCCAGAATATTCTGGGTAAGCAAATATGGCTCCATTGGGCTCATTGGATATAACACGGACAAAGCCTGCAGATCCGCCACGGATGTTGGTATCCATATCCACCTCTCCATGTCGTGAGGATATGAACAGTGTGTCTGCACGACCAAGGAGATTCAAAGCACTAGAAGGAAGTTGAGGGGACTCGGAGATGAGCCTTGGAGTAGGCAGAGTTGGAGTGATGTTTCTAATATTTATATACTTGGGACAATTGCCTACAGCTGTAAGCACCTCATAGCGATAGTCTTTTAGTTTCAATCCTTACCAAGACTTGCTTCTATTTGCACAAGTAATTGCGCAACCCCTACTTTGCTGGAGTCAGTCTCGCTCTTTTCGCCCAGTTGTATCGATCCACTGATTTTCCTCCCAAAAAGCTTTGCTCGTTTGCGGGTCGCTAGATCGACAACTAAGCCGGAAACTAATTGCCCGGACTCCCCTGGGCTGTCATGTAGCAGTATATCTGCCAGAGGGTCATGTCTGATGTCAACAGGAGTCTTAACCTCAACCTTCGATTGGGAAGTTGGCTTGGCAAAGCCTACTTCACCACCCCAAAGCGTTGTCCAAGGCCGTCCCTCTCGATCAACGGCACCAATAGCAAGCAAAGGCGAGTTTAAGAGCAGATGAGTTGCCCCATAACTTAGAGCAGGCACTGTGGGGTTAATGATAGGAGGAATGTGCAGCAAACTGCGCATTCGTATCTCGCCATCATGCCAGGGAAGGGTATTGGTTAGGAGGGACGCCATTGATTGATGTGTTGATGCTATAGAAAGGAGAACAAAATTCTCATGATGAGGTATAGATCATTGACACCAATGACAGAGATATAGCGAAGAGGTTTTGTGTTGATATTGACGAACCTGACTGGATTGGTCAGCATCCGATACTAGACCATTGACTAATAATTAATTTAGTACGAGTATGACATAAGTAAACAAAAAGACTGGATGGCATCATTTTCATCGACTTCAGAAGATTCAAGAGATGAATAATCGTCTCCAAATACCGATGGCTCGGCAGGCGGGGAAGAAGTTTGCTTTGTTTGACTGTAGTGTGGCTGTTCCCAAGTTCCTGAGTTGTCATGTGATTGTGGACCTGAAGTAGAGAGGATAATGGCGATTGTTCAGGATTGGCAATTTTCTGTTTGATCCGGAAAACTCAGTCCAAGTTGGCACATTCCTCTGAACGGTCATATGGGTACTTGATTTTTTAGAGACCATTTGAATGAGTAGGGGCAAAAACCACCTCAGCAACAGTCGTCATCGTATTTGACTATGCCACTAGTGGACTCCATCATTGTGGTTGGCTTCTTTCTTTAGCAACACCCGCAGTGGAGCCAAAGATCGGCCACAGACGAGGCTTTGCATTGCGACGCCTGTCCAGATCAACAACCCACAGCCTTTTCGCTCGTTGGGCTTTTTCTGTTTTTCTCCCTTGTTGATTTGCATTTTCACTTTCTTATTTACTCATATCCATATTCCCTCTTGCTGGTTCAAGGAATATCAAAATATTTATTCAACCACCATCCCTCACGTGCGGTGGCACTGATTGACGACAAGTGGATCTCCGTTTTGTTTATCATATCAACATCCATACATATTATCCCCCACACGAGCCGAAGAAGTAATTAATATCGATTGATTGCTTCTTGATCCAAGCGCATCACCACCCCGACTTAAACAGATATCAACATGCGATCCAAACCGAGATCCGTGAAACCATCGGCGTACCCTGCAATACCATTTCATGCCATCCGCGCTGTGGGCTTTATCTCCACCTTAGTCGTCGGTATCATTTTAGCCGTCTTCATCTACAACCTCCATCAAGGTGGCTTCAAACTTCCTTGGGCATTCCTGGTTGTAAGTCTCGCATGACAACACACAGCCTCAAGAGATGTAACTAATATAAGCACATCCTAGCTCCTAATAGCCGTTATCCTTTCCCTTCTAAACTATGTCCTAACTACTATAACCCACTGCTGCTATGGTCTCTCACCGCGCCTATCACTCCTATCGAATACGATCTGTCTCCTTCTCTGGCTTATTTCCCTCGGCCTCCTGAGTTGGAGCATGTCCCAAACGGTCCTGACCACCTGCAACGCCACATACTGGGCTACTTCTACCGGTATCACTGTTTGCCGGATATACAAAGCATTGTTCGCCTTCACTATCCTGGGAAATATCTCGTACATCGCGGCCATCGCCCTCGATGTTATCGTACGCAGACGTCAGACTCGTCTGGGTGAGTACGACCCCATGGCCAGCAACGCGGCCTTGAACGATTACAAGATGCACGATCGCAGCAGCAGTGCTTTGTCGGGAGGCATGGGCCCTTATGGTGGACTCGATGAACAACATCCCGCTTTTCGCTCGAATAATCACCCGGATGAAGTCTACAGCGATATCCCTGCTCCGGGTAATTATTCCGGTCAGACGATGCCCCCGCCTGTATATGGCACCAGTTCCAACCTTGAGCAGAACCATGGTGGCGAGGCACAGGATTATTATCAACCGACGCCTACTCGTCCCCGTGTCCGATTCAGCACGTCTGGGCATGATGGGTACGGTCACCCATCGGAACAGACGCACTATGATCCTGCGGCTTATAGATGAGCTTTTGCGGGTTACACCCTTATCCAGATGTAACTGGACAATCACTGGGAATTGTACAGTATTGGGGCTGTCTGCTTACGACCGACCTAGTATGTGTCGATTGTACTAAACTTGATCTGATGTGTTACGATCTTGCAGTGAAGGGTTTATACTTGTTTTGTCCGGGCGTAATAGGTGTATTGTATATGTCGAAGGTGTTGTCCTTTTTGTCAACCTTAGAACCATGAATCATGCCGGATTGGATAATCATTGTATTATTTCTCCGAATATTTTGATCTCGGAGAAGCAACCTTAGTCTAGAGCATTGTATGTGGCTTGAACATATGAACCGCGTAGTTAATATTAGGGAAGCCAAACAAAGTCCATGGCTTGCCAGAGGTATAGTTCATAATGGGCCAAGCCTAATGGAAGAAATAATATTAAATTCAAGATATAGGAGGAAAAGTATGGACCACAATTGGTATTCACAAGTCCACCCAACGTTACGATTCCATGTATGTTTACATAATGACCTCGTTAGCGACATCCTGGACATGTGGTCAGTTGTGTAGAGAACATTTGAGGGATAGAAGAGGCACTTACACGCTTGAGTTCCTTGTACGGCAGACACACACAGTTTTGCACCCGTACTTCGTCTCCAACAGCGCATTCCTTACCCAAGATGGTGATGCTCTGTACCTTGATGCCGTGCTTCACGATGCTGGTGGAATGCGTTGCATTCGCGATAGGGGTACCCTCGACACGGGCCCAGGCACCGACACGGCTGCTCCATCCTATGATCGAGTGCATCACGCAAGCGTCATGCTTGATCTCAGCATCCTCAAGCACGATCGAGTCCTTGACACGGGCTCCCGCACCCACAATCGCACGGGGACCAATCGAGACATTGGGTCCCAGCTTCGCCGTGGGATCCACAGTTGCGGAGGGGTGGATGAAGACTGGGGGAACAATGGTCGCGGAAGGAGGTGTAAGTTCGTCGGATTGGGCCTGGAAGGCCTTCTGGAGGTAGAGAGCGTTGGCAGGGACGGCAGAGCCGGCAGTCTTAATCTGGCGCCAGAAGTCTTTCGTTTCGTGGACGAAAAAGCGGTTGCTGTCGGCAAGGTCTGATAGAATGTCCTGCTCCAGGCGGAGAACTTCGCTCTTCTCCGAGTCTTCCTCGGCAGCGACGAATGACGACTCCAGATTCTCAGAGGATGGGTAGGATACCAGACGGGGTCTGGTGGTGCGGCGTTTGATGGCACTGCGGATGGAAGGGAAAATGCACTCGGTCGCAAACAGATATACACCGCAGTTAATGAGGTTGGAGATATGCGATTCGGGTTTCTCGACATAGTGAAGCACTCGTTTGGTATGCGAATCGGAAACTATGCATCCGAAGTTGGTGGCGGCATCATTGCTCACCCTGGTTCCAAGAATAACAGCCTCTGCATCCTTCTCCTCGAACAGCCTCAGCATCTCCCCGAGCGGGAAAGAGCAACAGACGTCGGCATTGAGTACGAAGATGCGCTCCGGTTTGCCTTTGAGGATGGCATCGCGGAAGTGGTAGAGACCGCCGGCGGTACCTAGAGATGTGTATTCGCGCAGATATTGAATGCGGAATTGGGGGAACTCCTTGGCGGAGTCTTTGATGAAGTCGCGAAAGACCGTTTCATCGTAGTAGCCGACTAGGTACACATCTCGGATATCGGAGATTTTCGCGAGGGCTTTGAGGCCGTGATAGATGATAGGATGTCCGGCAACCTCGAAAAGAGGCTAATGGTAGATCACATCACTCATTAGCACATGCTCGGAGATTATTCAGGGGTCATGGGAGATCAACGGAGGGGCCACTAACCTTGGGCACATCGAGGGACAGAGGCCTGAAACGGGTTCCTCTGGATGGACCACCGACCTAGCATTAAGTCCTGTCAATTACAACGATTTGGCGACCAGTTTTCTGCAGTACATACTAAGATAATAGCCTTGGTGGAGGCCACGTTGGTATGTTCCCGCATTGGTACTTGAAGCATTGGGAAAACAACGGGTGGGGTGGGGGACGTAGTGGGTATCAAAGGGTAAGTTTGGTGATGTCGCAATGGAGAAGACAGTGAGGATAACAAGTGATACTGAACATGCAAAAGGTGAGGGAAGTAAGGATAAGGATACGGCAAAAAGTTTTCTCAGGAGCGGAACTTTCTTGAGCCTGAATGCTAAAGATGTACGGAGTCCCGTCAGGAGAAAGAGAGCCTAAAAGCGGATATTCCATAAATAACTTGGCAGTAAAATTCACCGCTTTCGTCCATGCGGGATAGCTTCCTTCCTCTTTGGGACATCATTACCCAGGTTCATGGATGAATAGTAAAAGTGTATACTCCAATTGTGATCTGCAGCTTTGCAGTGTTGAGGAGAGTAGCTGGTCCTAAGCCCTTTCGCGAATATATGATGAATGTACTGCCGAAATAGAACCGATGCGGGTTTCCCTCACCACTACAGTGACCCACGGATAATCCATGGTATCTCACAGCAGGTGCGGGTCTTTTGATAAAGTGTTAGTATGTACATAGGGTTTGCTGTCATTCCAACGTGAGGAAAATTGATCTAGTTAAAATACATTGACCTACAGGATGACAAGCGACCATAGAGCAAGGCGTCTGCAGAAAACACCCTTATTCCCATTAGCATATGCGACTATTTATGCGACATTGCGGCCCTGACAAGTTGCTTCCACTGTATGTTCGCCTTGATCGTGATCCGGCCATATCTTCAGTCGCCAATTCAACTAAACTACATCGTCAGATTCGAACGTACGGGCAACCCCACATATTTCACAAAAACCCCTCTCAGCAGTCTTTTCCAAGCATACAAAGAGCAGGAAATACAAGAAAAACTATGAATCAGGTGCCCTGCCAGACTAATGACCTAGTATACATTCGAACATTCAACTATATGCCTTTGGGAAGCTTTTCCGGTGTTTGGGGTCTGAAGACCAAAGGCAACGTGGGCTTTTCATCGTCTTCCTCTTTTTTGATCGCTGAGAGCCACTCTTGCGCTTGAGTGATCTTTTTCTTCTCCTTAATCAGGTATTGGCGTCGACGTTGGCGTTCAAGGTCTGGAGCCATGAGCTCTTGGCATCGTTCCAGTGACATACCATCTGTATCTGAGATATGTAGCTCTTTTTCGATAACTGAGATGAGTTCCTCTCGGCACTTTGAAAAAAACCTGGTATGAATACCCTGACAGGTGGAATCGACGAATCTTGAACAGGCTACCTCATAGTAACCCCGAGTGGACTAGAAAGTCAACATCTGTTCAGAGTGTAAAGAGTGAAAACAAGCTTACCGCCATCATCTTTACTTCTTGGAAAAACTTGTCCGGTCCAAGTTCAGCTGTTGTCAGCTTCTTGACCTCGGCTGCCTTTCGGGTTTCATTTTCAGGACACTTTCCCTGGAGTTGGAGGTATAAATCGGCTCTAGCCAGGTGGCGCCGAGCACTTAAAAAGTGGTGCGCATCCCTGGTGGCATGTTCAAGCTGCGCGGTAGCCATAGTAAATGGTTTGTGATATTCGATATTGTAATTATCAATGGCATATTTTGTATGCTTTTCCTGAAGCTCTCCAAGGTATTTCTCGATAATCTTCTTCAATTCCCTGAACAGAGTCGTCTGATAGTACTGAGAAAATACTTCCCTGAGTTGCTTCAGCAGCATTTCTTTGACTAGATTATGCGTCGCCTTGAGAAAAACTAGCATTGGCCCATCCCAATGCTGGACACTCAGCTGCCGGAGCATCTCGAGGGCCTTGGGATCTGCCTGGTCAGGAATTCCAGCACGGCATGAGTCCTCATTGATTTCGCGGACATTTTCCCAGGTGAAAATTCGAGCAGGTTGGACGAACAGATTGAAGTGATTGGTGAAGTATCCAGAAGGTCCCGATTTCGGCATCTGCGGATCTGGAGGAGCACTGGGCGACTTGCGCTTCACTGATCGTGGTGCTGATGTCATTTCGCAGTCCGAATCTCCGTCAGGCTGTGCTGGAAAAGATGTTCGATCCGATTGTGACAAAAGCGACACCGTAGGGCGCGTTCGGATCAATGCCGCTCTGAAGTCCTGCGCTATATGCCCCCAAATCTTCAGCAGAGGGTATTCCGAAGAGCCCCCTTCAAAATTAGCGCGAATTCTGTCTCCCAGTTCGTAAAGAAGCCTGCATAAGATGTATAGGACATTCGCAGAAGGTGGATCAGGGATCTCTTTAAGCTCTTCATTGATACGAGCTGCCTTAGTGTCAATTTGTTCAATTATCCCCGGAAGGCAACCCTGTATCTGCTCTAGAAGGAGGCTTGAAAGTGATGTTTGAAGGCGACGGGTACCGAACCTATCTTGGTAGGGCGATAGATCTTCAGACGTCCAAGGGGGTGAAGCAAAGAAGTCCTCCTCCTCATCTCGGGCTTGGGAATGTTCGATCGTGGGGTCCGGGTTGTTGCGAACAATGTAGTAGCCGTGTCCAAGTTTGAATTTGTAGCCCTCTAAGATATCTACCCATTGGGAATATGACTCGCCTGCCTGTACTCTATCAGGCTTTGTCAGCACACCTAAGGTGCGTTGGTGAGCACCTCGCACGTTTCGCATAATGCGTGCTGCGCTGGAGTTTGTAGCGTCATCTGTCATGGGCAAAGTCAATAAAACGATGCAGTTTTGCTGTGAGATGTACTCCTTGACGAGGTTCTCAATCAGCGAGATAAGGTATCTCTCTTCGTCCAACTCAGCCTGGCTAATGACACCAGGGAGATCATAGAAAGATAAATTGGGAAAGTCGGGTGCTGAAATGTCAAGGCGCACAATGTTAGGCGAGAACTTGACTTGGTAATGCGTACTGATGCCCGCATTCTCTCCTGGAATATATTCTCTGGAAGACTGTCCTGGATTTAGAATGGCAAGTTGGGCCCACTTAATGGCTTCCTGAACTTGGTCCTTGTCGGACAGGGTGATGAAGTGTTCATCCTCCTGGTCTTGTTCGACCCATGGACCAAGTGGCTGAGCTTTTCTGGGAGTTCTAAACTTTCGTGATCCATCGTACATATATCTTCGTGATAGATATATCTGGCATGCCCAAGGCTGGCCGGGCTCGCTCTCAGACAGATTTATTTCCATTGGACACCTAGTACAAGTACCGGCGCTTCTGGGAACCTTTATCTCAGACATTCCTTCTATGAGTGAACTCTTGCCCGTACTTTGGTCTCCTATCACACAGATCTTGGGTAGAGCAATCTGGTTATCTTCTATGCCAATATGGCGGAGATCTTGTATCTTCCGGACTAGGGCCTTCATGTCCCGTGCGATCACCTGGATCGCCTTATTCTCTATTGACCTCATTTTGGATGGATAGTCCTGAGCGATAGCTAATAAACTTGTTAGCTTGTATATCCGCAAGTAGAGGGGTATTAATATACTGTCTGCTGTAGAGTAGTTAGGAGTTCCCAGCTGCGACATCTTCGACGTCCCTAAGGCTACCTTCTTGTGCTGAGAGGTCAATATGAAGGTGGTGACAAGAGTAACACTCGATAAGCAGGGTAGATAGCCAGGTGTAAGTGGATGTGCGAAGTGAATGGGAAATAACAAAGGAGGGAGGTCAACCAGGTAAAGTGAATGTTTCATACAACACAAGGGGTCAAGTGAAGTCAGAAGGAGTAGGTCACCAGGGGAACCCAGACACACTCTTCATCCAAAGTTGTGGGACCATGGAGTTATAAGCTTTACAAGAGCCATTTGAGGTCCTAGGATAGTGGAATCTGTACCATCAACTTGTCTTAAGCTTTGTATCTTGTTTCTGCTTCAACTCACTGGTTTCAGTATCCCGTTTTATTCAGGTTCTAGATTCTGTAGGCACTATCCAATGAACATTTATACAAACTTGTCTGATACTACTAACTACTATTTCTGCGAGAGTTACCGCCTCCAATACTACAAATGGTCTTTAAAGTTGCTTTTGACTGAGATGCAACTGTAGCCATGTTGAAGCTAGGTCTATGTATCAATAACTGAACCACTAGGGCCTATTTGAAATATCTCTTCAACAATGCCCTCCTACCTATACTTGTTTGACTTCCCTATACAACGTAAGCATTATCAGAGACATGGTTAAACCTGATACTAGGTACTAGTAGATGTATGGCCCGCTTACTATTGACCATGTTAACAATTACAATATATTTCCGGTTACGACTACGTTTTGATAAAATAGTAAAAGCAGTCATACCAGAAATTCAATGACAAGTAATAGTTGTATACATTTTGATTCTTCTTTTTTACTTTTCTATCCCTTGTAACTTTACTATTCTCCAGATATCTTGGATTTCCCCTCTATGGAGGGGCAAAGGAAACCCCACCTGGGTGCCCTAAGCCCTAAGCCCTCAAGTCAATATGGGAATCATAAATGACTTAATTACGAGATGATGGTTTTAGTTTCAGGAGACAATTCAGGTAAAAAGTCAATTATTTATGTATACTAAGAGTATTTTATACGAAGCCTGGGTATAAATAATATCATGACTCATAGGAATTGTAGGATGTCATTGATTCTTAACGTGGGGTAATTAATGACCCAATGAAAAAAAAGTGACTCCCGCCCAAAATTCTTTGGCTCACCCACCGAACCTCCGCCGTCTCTTCTATCCTCACTCTTCTCCGTTGGAAGATCTCAGAGCGACAGGCCATTTAATCCACCATGTCGGAACCCAATGCAGTTAAGGAGGCTGAGGCCTCCATGGCTAACCTCTTGCTCGATGAAGTCACTGGCGAGAAGGTTTCCAAGTCCGAATTGAAGCGCCGCCAGAAGCTCCGTGAGAAGGAAGCAAAGAAGAAGGAGAAGGAGGCTGCTGCCCCTCCCAAGCCCGCGAAGAAGACCTCTGCTGAGGAAGATGAGGCCAACTTGACTCCTAACGTAGGTTTTTTGCTTCTGTTATATAGATGTCGGTGCAGTGGCACGCCGAACTTGTCGATCGCTAACCCTGAGCTTTTAACTTCTCTTTAGCAATACTTCGAAATCCGCAGCAAGAGAATCAACAAGTTGCGCGAGACCAAGCAACCCGACCCCTACCCTCACAAGTTCCAAGTCACTGATGACTTGCGCCAGTTCCTCAAGGACTACGAGCATCTCGCAAAGGGCGACCAGCTGCCCGACAAGGCCGTTCGTATCGCCGGTAGAATCTACACCAAGCGTTCCTCCGGCGCCAAGTTGATTTTCTACGACATCCGCGCAGAGGGTGTGAAGGTGCAAGTAGTGTGCCAGGCTCAGAATGCTGCGGGTGATGTCTCCTTCGAGGCTCAACATGAGCATCTCCGGAGAGGTGATGTTGTTGGTATTGTCGGCTTCCCTGGTCGCAGTAACCCCAAGAACCGCCCCGATGGTGAGCTGTCCATTTTCGCTTCTGAGATCGTGCTTTTGGCTCCTTGCTTGCACGCTATCCCCTCCGAGCACTATGGTTTCCAGGACAAGGAACAGCGCTTCCGTCAACGTTACCTTGACTTGATCATGAACGACCGCTCGCGCAATGTCTTCATCACCCGCTCCAAGATTGTCTCCTATATCCGCAACTTCTTTGACACCCGCGACTTCGTCGAGGTCGAAACCCCCATGATGAATGCCATCGCCGGTGGTGCGACCGCTAAGCCCTTCGTCACTCACCACAACGACCTCGACATGAACCTGTTCATGCGTGTGGCTCCGGAGTTGTACCTGAAGATGCTCATCGTTGGAGGCCTTGAGCGTGTGTACGAAATGGGTCGTCAATTCCGTAACGAAGGCATTGACCTTACCCACAACCCCGAATTCACGACTTGCGAGTTCTACTGGGCTTATGCCGATGTCTACGATGTCATGAACCTAACTGAAGAGCTGGTCTCCGGCCTGGTGAAGCACGTCACCGGCGGTTACGAGACCGTTTTCCATACCCAGTCTGGCGAGGAATACAACGTCAACTGGAAGGCCCCATGGCGCCGCGTGGAAATGATCCCGGCCCTCGAGGAGGCCACTGGTGAGAAGTTCCCACCAGGTGACCAGCTGCACACCGCTGAGACCAGGGAATTCCTCAAGAAGGTGCTGAAGAAGACCGGCGTTGAGTGTTCTCCCCCATTGACCAACGCTCGTATGCTTGACAAACTGGTCGGTGAGTTCATCGAGGAGACTTGCGTCAACCCAACCTTCATTACCGGCCACCCCCAGATGATGTCGCCTCTTGCCAAGTACCACCGCCAGAACGTGGGTCTTTGCGAGCGTTTTGAGGCCTTCGTCTGCAAGAAGGAGATCGTCAACGCCTACACTGAGTTGAACGACCCCTTCGATCAGCGTCTCCGTTTCGAGGAACAGGCCCGCCAGAAGGACCAGGGTGACGACGAGGCTCAGCTCATCGACGAGAACTTCTGTACTAGCTTGGAATATGGTCTGCCCCCCACTGGTGGTTGGGGTATGGGTATCGACCGTCTGGTCATGTTCCTTACCGACAACTACAGTATTAAGGAAGTCCTTGCTTTCCCCTTCATGAAGGAAGACAAGTCGGCAGCCGAGACCAAGACCGCCGCCGAGGTGGTTGGTATTGAGCCCCAGCCGGAGGAAGGAATTCGTAAGTTTTTGCTCTATTGAAATGCTACTTATAAGTGAAAGAGTACTGACATCCCATGCCATGTTTAGCCCACAAATAAATTTATGAACTACATGGGATGATGGTTTGTTGACGACTTTTTGTTCTGCACGTTTAATTCGATGTCAATGAAGGGATGCATGAGATCAGGATAACCAATATACCGAGACAGATCATACATCTAGGTTTACAGCCTCAGAATAGAAAGAAGAGTATGATTAACTTGAGCGTTTCGCTTCTCTTGTAGTTCAACACAAGACGTACATTGGATACATACATGCCTTCATTTGCTTTCCAGTAGATTGAAGCATACTGAAGCATTAGGACTACTATTTCACCACTCAACAGATACAAGTCCACCTAATTACAATTCTTCACTGTACTCCAAGTAAACCCCTTCCAAATAGACACATGCCTTCTGGGTGTGGGTGTGTTCTTCACCCAAACCACTATAGTCTATAACAATCGTCAAGTCGACTCCTGCCATCTTCCAAAAAGCAAAGAAGGATAACGTCTAATAGTCGTAAGAAACTACACATTTCATATATTAATTCTTCTACCTCTCAAAATCAAATAGATCTTGAACTCTTCAACACCTTGTTTCTATCTCTTTCCAGGTTCATACGAGTCCCGTTCAACGGTATCATGAAGCAGCTTAGCTTAACCCTTCATAGGCTCCAACACGTCTTCTGAATTCTTTCTTCTTATCCTTTGTTATATTACAGTGAATTTTCTCAGATACCCAGTGACATCATAGCCACGCCTACCCTCCATTGACTCATTGAGAAAAGGATAATCGAGGACATCTGGACAGAGGTATATCCATGATCAGATACCGGCAGTCAAACCACTACATCCTTTGTTTCATACCATACAGCTATCTGTATACTGTAGAATCAATTGTAACCATGATTTCATCGGAGTATTGTATGTCGAGATGGGAAACCGACGAGTGCGTGAAAAGATAAGACGTCACTCAGAGTGAATTGCCAGCAACCAGAGCATACAAGAACTCACGGGGTCTTTCATCTGATGCAAAAACATTTCTGCTCAATCTGTACATGTCAGTATCTCTCTTAGCATCAAGACTCCACATCTTCTTTTCTTCCTCAATACATCAAGTATCTACAGATCCTATATGTAATTGTTCTTGCAAAGTTGTCAATCCTATTTTGTCCATCCGTGTTGCTCCACTAGTTGAACTTGCTGTGTCTCAGGTAATTTCATCTTTATCCCTCAGTTGTTTTTACCTTTTGAGGTTTCTTGACGGGACTGATGACGAGTGATTTAGACAGCTGTCTCTGATACACTCATCAGCATGATGGATAGAGACGAGACGGGTGACAACAGTGATCCTTTCAGACAACTCCGCTATCTCCCCCCTCCCCAGACAAACCAGTACCACCAGACCAGCCAGCATCTATTCCACCCCCAACCTATAAGACCCACTGTTGGTCCAGCTTGTCTAGTATGTCATTCTTCAGCAACACCGGTTGGTACTCTTCTCATGACTTGTAAAATTCTGACAATTTGATAAGAGGCAGAGCACAGACCCCAATGGAGCAATAGATTCTTTCTCCCTTCGTGAAAGCTTGTTCGGACAGGCAGAGTTGAGCCCCGGCGGTAGACATCTCACCACTATCGAGGGCCAGTATCTTCAGAGACCCGCGCCTCGCTTTCCAGACGAGTATGTGAATTGGCGTTTTGGAGACCCCATTCCCTCAGGCTGGAGAGTCACTGTAACGCCTCGCGTCGTGAACAGCCCTCGTCCTGAGCAGTATCGTATCCTAGTGCCCGATACTGAAGCTCTTGAGTCCTATGAGCGTCGTCGGGATCTCTCCCCATCTTCCTTGTTGTGTCCACAGCCGGATCGCACTGTGATAGAACATGCAGTGATCCTACACCACATGAGGAATTCCGAGCTAGAACCTATCACGGTTGAGAACCCCAAAGTAGTATCTAGACCGGGTAGTGCTCATGAGGACACTCTTATGGATATCGATGATCCTCACGAGCAGAGCACTCCTGAAGAGACAACCGTCCCAGGGACCACCAATGAACCGGGTGACATGTTCCCGTTTCCTACGCCCCTAATGGGGAAGGAAGTGATACTTTGTGAGTTCGAGGAGTTAGCCACACATACGGCGAAATGTGACATATGTAACAATCGCAATTCTTCCGGAATGTCTCGCTGTCTGACCTGCGGCTGGCAGACTTGCAACTCGTGCACAATTGCTCGAGGTTATTTTCGCACTCACCACGTCAACGGCAATATTCACACTGGTCCCACGAGCCAGAACGATCTAGACGCTGCTGCTGAAGAACTCTTGAAAACGAAGAAGAAGGGCAGTTCGCCTAAGAAGAAAGGCTCTAGGAATACCAGAAAATCTAAGAAAGGTCGTGCGACAAAAAGCAAAACTCCGAAGAAGGCCCCAAGAACGCCTTCGAAGTCCTCACTTATGTCCAACAAGGCCGAACCTGACCAGGAGGTTTCCACAGAGGAGGTTAGTGGTTCTGAAAGTGCGTTGAACCTTGCTTGTGGCTAGAATAAGAAGATTTGTTATACTGACCCTCGGATCAGACCGTAAGAGACAAAGTAATGAGGATTCATGGGACGTAGATTCTATTCTTGATGATGACGCTACAGAGTATCTGCCGGAGGAAGGCCAGCTCGAGGAGGAAAAGGCTATTAGTTGGAGTCCTTTGCATGCCCCGTTGAGTCAGGTTAGTTTGCACAGTCGGGATCTCCGGCAAGTCCAACGAGCACATGAGACACGACGCCAGAAGAAGTTCAGCGACAGGAAGGTTGAAACTACGAAGGAAGCTGATGCTGACCCGATTACGACCAAATCGAAAGCCTCGGGACAGCAGACTAAAGCCCAGGCTTACTGTCGGAAGCAGCCAGGGAGATACTCTCGTTTGTGAATCTGCATCAAGATGAAACGATGGCCAACGAAGAATGGACTCACCCTGCAGACATCTGGGCTGACAACTCTGCACAGACACATTAACATGCCCCAATCTCACTCATTTCTCACTCCAGGATTGTTGTTTTTGACTGGGGTCTACAGTTACTGATCTTGACCAGTGAAGGGCAACCTGATGGTCACAACGTGTCAAAATGGCTATAACTGAACTTAGAAGTGGTTGGCTATTGTGACAATCTGGGACGCCTTTATCTTATGGTGTATCACACTGGTCTATTGCACTTACTCTTTCTGGCCTTATCCTATGGTCTGAAGAGTTTGTTTGTTTCATAGTAACAGCAATATCCTAACTTGTCATTTATCTGTTTGTACATCTTTCCACGAATCAGTGCTTGTTTTCCATGTTGGGCCTGAAGAGACGTCTTAAAAATTCAAAACAATAAAGCAGACCCATTCAATAGGGCAATGGCTCGCTAATCCTACTTGATATCCAAGCTGCGTACTTGAGATTTCCGCTTCTCACCATTGTCCAGTAAACAGAATTTGTATAGTTGAGGCCAGTATAGTTCTTTACATTAAGGGATGATGTTCACCATATCATACAATTGAAATTTGCACTATATAATACTAGTGCTCATTCTTGGTATGTCTCAGTATATACGAGGATAGATGGGGACAGTAGGCTTTCCCGTCCACTTAAAGTCTGTGGATTTCCCACGCAGCACAGTCCGAGAGCAGATGGGTATGTATCAACCTGTTTGGAGCTCTAGTGGAGGTACTAGCAGAGCTAGTATTGCAGTGTACGACTGGATGGATATCACTCTCGGAACGGATAGTAGGTTCTTGTTGCCTGGTAGACTGGCGAGCGTTAGCCGGGAATTATGTTTAGGGGGGATCTGGAGAAGATGGAAGGCTGGATTGGCAAATGGCTTAAAGCTAGTGAAAGGGGCTGAGTAAGAGCATTAAATCCTAACTCTAAGATGTCTAAGATGCTGATATTTATTTTTGGTATCGTATTCATCTAGAAAACAGCCTCGTCATCATTATCCTGGTTGTCCTCGACATCCATATCGTCCTCGTCGTCCTCATCAAGACCCTCGAAACTCATGAATTGTTCATTCTTGGCGTCGGTCTCTTCCTCAACCACAACGCCATCTTGGACTTCACAGTCCTGAGAAATTTGGTCAGTAGTCGATCCGACTTTTGGGTATAGTTCGTACGCACCTTAAGAACGGACTCTCGTCCGACTTGACTGTATCTACCCACTGTAGCAATATCAGTTCACGAACTAACATAATTTGTCTTTCTAAATTGTGGCTCACTTACCGATGCATCCTGTGAGAACACACTTTGGTCCGATGACCGCGTTGTCCATAATTACACATCTAGTTTAGATTAGAGACTATGCAGCGTTAGGATGTAGGTAGAGATTAGAAACCTACCTCGTCAAGCGAGCGCCGCTGCAAATTTTTGCGTTAGGCGAAATGCACGATTCTTTTATAACACATTTTTCTTCCACCTTTCAAGACGTTAGTTGAACTGTTCAACAAATGAAAGACTGGGTGTTTTACCGTCACGTTGGATCCTAGTAAACAGTCGCCTTTCGTGACAATAGATTTAGAGGCAATTCCTTCAGGAGTAGCAATCTTCGAGGCATGGCTGAATGGCGAAGCAGCAGCACGGCCAACCTCTTCAACAGAATCGAGCTTAGCGAGACGCAGTGACATCGCTAACACCAAAGCGGAACTGTCAACGCGCCGAACGAGTTGCTCAGACGACTTGGTCATGTATGCTAGGATTGATGGCACTTCCACCGAAGACTGGTCATTGAGAGTGGATTTTGTAGACTGAGCCTCGGAGCCCTGGGCATGGGTAGTGATCATGCCACGAAGATCGATTTCTTCCTCCAATAAATCGCCGTCATTGCTTCCGTGATCCTCTTGATCCTCATTCTGCCCGCCCAATATCTTATTAATCCCGAGCTTTTCACTCAGCCCGCGCTGCCACTCCGCTTTCGCCCAGTACCCAATCAAGTCTTCACTCACGGACTCAAACCGCTCCTGGTACTGGGCAAACGATTGGACCCACTTAGGCAGAATGTATAAGTGTGCATCACGATAACTGGTTAACATTTTGACTGAGGCATGCTTCTCAACCAAAGTATGGCGGAGTAAGAAGCTCTTATCTTCCTCTATCTGCTCTTTCAATGTATCCATCGGCATCGATAAAACCAGTTTCGAGAGCTTATATCGCGAGACAGCAGGGACCTCATCTTGTTCGAGAGAGGTGATTGCCATGAAATCTGTCGGCTCTTTCTTGACCTCGTCCTTAATGCCTTTTGCGGGATAGAACACGGATAAGCCCCCTTGGGAAGCTGGGCCCAATTCGCCTTGTGAGACTAACCATGCCTCAAGCAAATGTTCGCCGGGGATATCGCATAGTAGATCGCAGCTTAGGAGCAAGAAATTAGATCGAATACAAGCTTGTACCTCTGGTAGTCGGAGGAGTTCCGCTGTTCCTGTCGTCATCTTGAGATCCTTCGGGGCTATAACGGTAGGTGAGGGCGAAGGGAGCGACGTAAGATAAGGATTTTGTTGTAGAGCGGCCTTAAGAGGAGTGAGAGCGGAGGGAGGTGTAATCAGTATGATATCTAAACAGTTAGAATTATCCCAAAACCGCAGAACACAATACCCTGCAGGAGGCGCGTAGCCACTACTCACCAGTTATTCCTGCGCGCTTGCACCAATCCAGCGGGTAGTACACCATTGGCCTTAGCTGAACATCAATTGATGTTAGTGACTTGCTACTGGAGCCGGCTCTGAGATTCGCCAACACATACTGCTATGGGAATTAGACATTTTGGATTCTCTTCCGGGTTGGAGGAAATTGTATTCAAGCTCTCGCCGGGACCACAGAGGATCAGAGCTTGGAAGCCACTGCTTGGTACGGGCGTTGAGTGCACCATTATGTCTTTGAGCCCCGCGGGCAATGGTGGGGTGAAAGAGTTGGAATAAATTCGGCCGGTGCGGCTCGGAGAAGGCGTCTCGGAATGGCTTCGGTGATCAAGAAAAGACCGGGAAAGGGCCGTATGGCAAGTCGCCGCAGTTACCCTTGGTTCTCTTGCCGCAAAATGAGAGTCGCGAAACCCACAGCAATAGCTTGTGATTCCGCTCGCGATAACTACGGAGGTTTTTCTTCGGAGAGCTGCACGTGACGATAGGTGAGTCAGGTACCACTGTCATCAAGCAAACAATGCAAAATACCGGGCCCTAGCTTCCTGGCCGCCCTGCAGATTCCTTTGTTCATTGATCTTTAATGTCAGTCAGGCTCGATCCGACAGCTAATGGGCGATCTTGCTTACTGCAAGGGTAAGTGATGTTATTAACCGGAAGACGTATAGATAAGCTCGTTCAAGATACAATGCTTGTTTTCCTATTGTACAATATAAAGTAGAGATTATAACACATTCAAGAATGATCCAAACATTCGTTAGTATAGCATGGTGTTTGAAACAGGCTGGCTAGGCCAGTAACGACCTGTCCCATTTTCAGTGGTGCGAAAACACACTCAAAGCTTACGAGGGCTATGAGCAGCTGCACTGGACAGTGCCTGGCCACGGGCCTTGGCTGCCATCTGCAGTAGCTTGGCAGTTCTCGACGGGTGCCAGACCCGGCTTCCCAGAACCAGAACCCAAGTCAGAAGGAACAAGCTTCCAGCTTGATGGGCAGACGCAAGAGGGGTGGGAACAAGATAGAGTAATGTGGAGATACCAAGGCCGACCTGGCAGAACGCAAATGCAACAACTCCGTGCACACCCTTCTTAGCAGCAGGTGGGAGAAGTCGCTTCATGGTAGGGGACCGACGAGTGTATGCCCACAGTGCCATAATGGTACTGAAGGTAGTCATAGCTAAGATACGATGATCCAGTTGAACAAGAGACGGATTTTCAAGCATATTTCGCCACCAAAGGTCAGACCTGTCCTCATGACGTGAATATCTTTCGTCGAAGAGCTCTGACTTGGGCGGCGCCAGTCCTGTGCCCATAGTGGGGAACTCATTGTAGATGAGACCAGCGTCCAGACCAGCAACCAGAGCACCAGACATGGCCGTCACGAAGACAAGAGCAGCCAAACCAGCAACCGAGCGACGGAAGATCTTGAGTTTGGGGTCACGGAGCGAGTCCAGCAACTTGATGCCAGCCTCAGGGTCAGCCAGCAGGCGGTGTGAGCGGAGAATAGCAAGACCGTTCCAAAGCATCGCAACGTAGCAGACGAATGCAGCTCCAAGGTGCGCCGTCAAACGGTATTGGCTCACCCGGGGGTGGCTGCCCGGTGCAAAGAGATCATCCTTGAGTCCGGACTTGACCATCCACCAACCGATAAAACCTTGGAAACCAATCAAGCCAGCAATACCACCAAGCCGCAATGCCATCGGCTTGCTGACTTTCTTGCGAGCTACGAAATAGAGAGCCGGAAGAACGAACGACAGACCAACAAACCGACCCCAAAGACGGTGAATCCATTCCATGTAGTAGATCGACTTAAATTCAGAGAGGGTCATGTGCGGGTTCAACAGTTGAAATTCAGGAGATGCGCGATACTTTGCGAATTCAGACTCCCAGTCTTCTGCATTCATAGGGGGAAGAGATCCGGTAACAGGGCGCCATTCTGTGATGCTCAGGCTATACCAGTTGGTTGTCAGTATTATATTATTATTAGGATACTTCTGTAAGGGGAAAGCGCACCCAGATTCTGTCAATCTGGTGAGGCCACCAAAAACCACAATACCAAAAACGCTAGCTGCACTGCCTAGCAACCAGTATGCCACCATCTTGTCGCTGACCTTAGGAAAGCTGGATTTCGCATTGGAAGCACCTTCCTCAACAGCATTCACTATTGCGGAACCCGAGGCCGACCTTCTGAAGATGTTGGGAATTGCGTTTTTCGTTCTTGAGAATGAAGCAGGCGAGTTGAGCTTGCTGGTATTCCGAGTAAAGGGCGACACGGCGAAATTCTTTGGGAAAGCGGATTTCGTCGCATAATTCTGGCTTCGCCCTAGACATTGACGACAGGTGAAGAATTCCTTGGACAGCCGGGGAGTAAAACTCCGCATGAGGGACACGGAGCTCCCCAAGGAAGCCATAATGAGTGGTATGGCAGCAATTGATGTTTGGAGAAATTGTTTTGAACCTGTGAGACAAATAAATTGCGGGAAGTTGCGGACAGAGGAGAGGCCGAGACCCCGAAGGGGGCGCGAACCAATCATGGTGGCATGATTTCATCGTCTGTTGACGTTCAGTGAGTTTCCGACAATTCCGCATACCCTAAGTGATATTGATAGTGTATTATTTGCATAATACATACATTCTACACTCCTGTAGATGCGATTGTAGTCCAACATATCCAGTTCGAGCGAATTGGTTCGGCAAAAGGGTTGTATCCGAAGATGTGCCTTAATAGGATAAATGTCTGAATCGAACCATTGATTCCTTTAACTACGTCTGGATTGCTATATCAAAAGTTATCGGTGGGAATTAACCACTAATATTGTATATACAGTATAAAGAGAGAATTGAATGGAGCAGGGAATATATCGAAAATTCTCTCACAGAACAAGTACTCTATATCAGGCAGTTGTCCTGAGGCACTACGTAAGTAGATAAGTGCCTATCCAGGTTTAGCGCCGTCAAGCTCCGATCATCTCTTAGAATGGGATCGCCAACCGACACAACAGCTTCAAGGCAATTCTCCATTTACCCACGAAGGACGTCTCGCGTACGTCTAAGAATATGTCGTATGCTGTGGAAACTAAGAAGCGCAAGTTTCATCGAGTTCTGGAATCATTGACGAAACCTGCGAATGCCGAATCCTCCACCAAACCAACCCCCGCGGCAACTACAGCAGCAGCAGCAACAACAAATGAACGAATCTCCGCGGACTTGGCAGCGAAAAAGGCTCGCTTGAGTGATCGTCAAGATGGAACTGACCTTGCATCTGTGCGAAAAACGGTCTTGAGAGTTGCTCGTTCAAGCTCTCGAGATTCGTCAGCCTCGTCCTCGTCGCGGCCGAGTTACGTCCCTTGGGATCGCGAGCGTTTTCTTGAAAGACTGGAGACGTTTCGCCGGGTTGATCGATGGTCACCGAAACCGCCAGCTATAAACGAATTGGAATGGGCTAAGCGCGGATGGGTCTGTTCAGATGTGTCGCGAGTGGCATGCGTAGGAGGGTGTGGCGGTTCCGTTGTCGTCAAACTACCAGATGAGCTCGATGAATTGGATGGGTACGACAGCGAAAAGGTGCAAGAGAGGAAGGAAGTTCGTAAGTTGTGACCGTGCTATAGAGTCTTGGAGTTATGGTAAAGATATTGAACTAATTCTGGTATAGGCGCCAAACTCGTTGAAGAATATGCTAGTCTTCTAGTTCAAGGGCATGGCGAGAATTGTCCATGGCGAAACAAGGGTTGCGATGGTTTGTCCTCCCGATACAAACTGTAATACTCCCCACTGACTTGCCTAATAGCTACGATCCATCGTTTGGCCTTGTCCAACCCTGATACAGCAATCTCTGGTCTCCGGACACGCTATTTGAATATCGCTAAGATGGCCGACCATCTACCATCTCAAGAAATCATTCAGACCCCTGAGCCATTTGACCTCGAGACAATAATCAAGATACTTCCCGATGATTTTGAGAGGATTGAGGAACATACCGAGATAGCTATGCCTCAAACTCCTCAACGCGTCGATGAAAACCAACTGGCTTCCGTTCAAAGTCCGCCTACGCAGGAAATCTCGATTAATAGGACTGCTTTTGCGCTCGCCTTCTTTGGGTGGGACTCCGTCGCAGATGGTGCAGCAGGCTTGGCCGGCTGTGGTGCCTGCTTCCGGCGCTTGGGACTCTGGATGTACAAACCGAAGGACAACGGCGATATATCTGTTTACGACGCACTTGACGTTGCTACTGAGCACATGGAATACTGCCCATGGGTCAGCGGCAAGGCTCAGAGCGGTACCGGAAAGTCATCTGAGAAGTCAGCCGATCTACGCAGTGGGTGGGAACTCTTGGCTCAAGCGCTCAAAGTGAAGCATCGCCGACATATTCGATCCACGGTGTCTGTCGATAGCCGTGCCGTTTCCGAAACCCCCTCCGCGGATGGTCTGACAGCTGACGAAGCAAACAGCGAAGCCAGAAAGGCTAGCGACCGCGAATGGTGGGCAAAGCTGCGACGGATGAGACAAGTACTGAATGTCAAGTCTCCAAAGAAACCAACTGCGCCATAATTTTGTTCTTCATTCTTTCTTGGGTTTGTTTTAGCTATGCAAGCGTGGCGTTACGGGTATTGGTTTCTACGTGTTAATGTCTATTTGTACAGTACCTAAACATATCATAGAGCGAATTATTCTATTGCTCAGTTACATCTTGCATAGCAATGCACCAAACCATTGTACCGGTCTTGACTCTTTCCTGTGTCCTGACACTCTGCTTACAGCGGTCTACGTTGTCAGTTCGAAACAAGTCATACGACGTCGAAAGGAAGAGATGAAGGAGAGTTGATGGTTACGCCATTAAGCCTATATCTCTATGATCTGGGTCAGTTCAAACACGTAGAACGATGTCTTTTGTCGCTTTATTTCTGTACACATGATCATAGGGTTTCGCCAGCCCCCGTTTTGGTATTGGATGCTGGGCAAGAACGAGTCTATACAATGCAAATATAGCGCTATCTTTCCTTCGACGCGTCATCATTCATGAAGATTTCATAGCGACACTGCCACAGTGAACAAAGAAGACAATGATGTGCTCAAGACGATTGACTCCCGGATGCGGTAAAAGGGAACCCAGTTTGCGCAACGCAGGTTTGACCATAACTAGGGTCAGGAAAGAACACATCGTCGCAAGCTGTTCCTTTCACTCTCCCTTCAGAGAAGTTTCATTCATAAGCCATGAGTCTTCCAAAGCGTCGAGAAATAACAGCTACCAGAACCACGCGTCATGGCTAATGAGAACCCGGAAGCGCAAGGTGCGGAAGGCGGAGGCAGTAAGGGCAGGAGCAGCAGTATGTACGATCCTGCACGGGACTCTTGGGAGGCTCAGGAATCATCGGCAGTACCACCAACACAACTCCAACCTTCTCAGTCCATTTCAGCTCTAGATAATCCACCGGCGCAAGAGATTTTGCCTTCGGTAAGTGTCTTATGTTTTGTACTGTGAGGGCCATTCTTTGCACTTTTGGAATTCCTCAATGTCCGTCCAGTTCATGCTTGTCCGCAGTGCATTTGTGTGCTGGTGCATGATTTCACCATCGGATTTTTTTCTCCAGAGAAAAATTTAATTCACTCTGTCGAGATTTTGCGACTCACTCATTATATACTCAACCTCTCCTTGCTAACAAGACCGGCATTATCATCAGGTTCTCGGCGGACCTTCCCCGACGACACAGTCCGCGGTGCGAAACACAACGTCCGCTCATCAAGAACAAATTTCTCGCGATCCACTTCCACCTTTAATAGAACACGAAAAAACAAGGCAGAAACCATCGCGATCATCAAACGCATATATATCACCTAGAAACTCTAAAATGTCTAGCCCACAAGCTGCCAGTCCAGCGCCCCCAGAGTCTACCGAGGCTCACAACGGAGCTCTTACCTCCCCTACGGTAATTAGCCTGAACACAACAGATATCCAATAACAAGGTAGAAACTGATGGGGTACCAGGCTGTACAGGAGGAACCAAGACCTGGGTATTCCAAGCGCAGACGTCTCCAAGAGCGGCACCAACAACTACGAAAGCGTGGCAGAACACCCCCATCAGCTTACTCTCGTCGCGACATGAATGAGTCGGCGCAGCAGCCCAATCGCAATGAGTCGTCAAACAGATCTCCCTCGCCCCTCGCTCCACCGCGTTCTCCATCGCCCGACGCGCAGGCGCGCAAGCGCAAGCGTCCTGGCGGTGGTGCCAGGATGGGCTTGGTAGATCGCGAAACTCTGCGTCGGAGACAGGAAGAAAGAGAGCGTTCTCAACAAGAGGAAGCTATGCGATTCTCTCAGAACCGCGGGGTGACTGACATTGTCCGCCACCACTACAATGCTGTTCCCCAGCGCGGAAGAGAGTGGCGGAAGACCGAGAGTAAGATTAAAGGCTTACGAAGCTTCAATAACTGGATTAAGAGTACTCTCATTCAGAAGTTCTCGCCGGATGAGGAGTTCGTGTCTAGATCCATTGGCACCAAGGACTGGGCGGATGACACCGCCCCACCCCCTATGGAAGCTAAACGTCTTTTGGTTATAGATCTGGGGTGTGGCAAGGGGGGTGACCTGGGCAAGTGGCAACTAGCTCCTCAACCCGTAGACCTCTATGTTGGCCTCGATCCAGCTGAGGTCTCTATTGTCCAGGCGCGTGAGCGTTACAACGGTATGCGGACTGGGCGCGGCCCACGTCGCCCCCGTGGGCCTCTCTTCCATGCCGAGTTTGCTCCTAAGGATTGCTTTGGGGAGTATCTAGGAGATGTCCCTATTGTTCAACAAGTAGGCATTGACCCTAATGCCGGCCCAGGTGGATCGGTGATGAGTTCACGCTGGGGCGGCGGCGGCTTCGATGTGGTAGCGTCCATGTTCACAATTCATTACGCCTTTGAAAGCGAGGAGAAAACAAGACAGATGCTGCGCAATGTGGCTGGGTGTTTGAAGAAGGGTGGCCGATTCTTGGGAGTCTGCCCTAATTCGGACATCATCAGCGCACGAGTGGCAGAGTTGAATGCGAAACGAAAGGAACGCGAGACTGCGGCGAAAAAAGAGGAGGCAGAGCCCGAGGATGGAGAGGTCGAAGAAGATGATAACAAGATTGAATGGGGCAATTCAATCTACAGAGTTCGATTCTCGGGTGATACCCCCGAAGATGGGATCTTCCGACCTCCTTTCGGATGGAAGTATAGCTATTTCATGGAAGAGGCGGTAGAGGAAGTTCCGGAGTATGTTGTGCCATGGGAAGCCTTTCGAGCGTAAGTTTTATCTACCGGTCCAACTACCACTGTACGATCGACTGACTGTCCTAGATTAACGGAGGAATACAACCTCGAGCTCCAGTATCGGAAACCGTTCCTAGAAGTCTGGGAAGACGAGAAAGACGATCAAGAGCTGGGCCCTCTGAGTGAACGCATGGGTGTAAGGGATCGAAATACCGGCGCCCTGCTCATGACAGACGAAGAGAAGGAGGCAGCCAGTGAGTATTGATCATGGTCAGAAAAGACCCGCTTGCTAACATGGACAGGTTTCTATCACGCATTCTGCTTTTACAAGGTCTAGCTTTTCTATACACGTATACTTTTTGACCTTCCATCAACTCAATCTTTCTCAAAGCTCTTGGACGCATATAGTACATGTCAATCAAGAACTGGCTCACGTTGCTATGTACAATTACATTCCACAGTAAGCCTAAACCGAGGCGATAGCATATATAATAATAAACTCGATTATCATATACCTATGATCCAGTAATTAAGCTCTAACCTCTCCACCTTATCTCCAAGGCATGCACCCCCAAGCTCCAGGATGGTAGATCATCATATCATGGCTACAGGAGAAATAAGTATAACCTAAACAAGCCTAGCGCCGTCGCGTCGCGTGTTGATCTCTTATCCAGCAACCCATCACTCCATCCAATATTAATTAATTCCTCTCCACCAAAAACAGCAGGACAAAGGTCCTCACGCCCTAACCAGCACCAAAATACCAGGTCACAACATCTCCCGGAACCCAAATCGAAGTGCACAACAAACCGGACCAGAAACCCGCACCCAACGGATAACCCACCCCAACGACAAGAATAGAAAGAAAAAAAAAATAAAATGACAACCCCAACCCCAAGCTCTTCGCGACACAGATCCCGCCACGCAAGCAGCAGCGTCCAGCGCCCAAGCCAAAGACCCCGAGCTTCAACGCCCCCACTCCCAGCCTATGAAGCGCCGATCGCACCCCTCCACAGCGCAGGTCAAATCAAGCTCCTATCCCTCCTTAAATCGCAGTCGCTGCGACCGCTGAAGACGCATCTCCAGCACGCGGAGGAGAAACTCACCGATTCGGCTGGGGAGGTTAATGAGCGGCTTACTGATGCGCGGGTGCGGCTTCAGCGGTTGAAGGAGCGGAGGGGGGAAAGGGAGGATTTCAATGAGGGTGATGAGGATGGGACGCAGCGGCAGGATGACGAGGAATGGGAGGAAAAGTTGAGGGAGTTGGGGGAGAAGGTCGGGGATGTTACGGAGCGGTTGGAGGCACGGATGCGCGGGACGATTGATGGGGAGATTAGGGTTGATGGGCTGGTTGGGGTGCTTGGGACGGTTGAGAGGGACACTGAGCTGGAGAATGGTGCTGGGAGGATTACGAGAAGGGGAACTAGACGGCGGGGTGGGGAGGAGGAGGAGGATGATGAAGAGGATGAGGATTACGAAGAGGCGGAGGAGAGTGTGGAGGAAAGTGTGCCGCCGACGAGGAGGTTGGATGAGTTACTTAGGGAGAACTATGCGGAGTGGGATAGGCTCTCTTTGACACAACGGTATGTATTTGGTTTTATTGTTGTTTTCTTTTCCCTTTCAGCGAGTTGGTTGATGATGAGGCTAATTGGGATGGGATGTTTGTGCCAGGTACTCGACCAACAATGCCTACATCGGGTTCTATCGAATTATTCACGAAGCTAAACATCCCGGCGAAGATATTCCTCCACTACCGCACGCATCAACGTGGTTCTCACACCTGGAAGATCCAGCTACGGCTTCGGCGCAAGCGCCCGATTCTTCGGCCCGGCGCACGCGTCGTCGGAGATCTCCTTCTCCGGCGGACTCAGATGAGATCGCCATCGAGAGCGAGCGCATATCGCTCAAATGCCCTCTAACTCTACTTTACTTCCGGGACCCTGTAACAAGTACTAAATGTCCGCATAGCTTTGAACGCGAAGCGATTGAAGATATGATTGCGCATAGTTCAACGACTGTTCCCGCGCCCCAGCCGGCGGGAGCCGCCGGCCGCAGCGCGCGTCGTGTTCGCTCCGTCAAGTGTCCGGTGTGCTCAGTTGTCTTGACTACGGCGGATCTCCGGACGGATCCTGTTTTGGTTAGGAGGCTGCGCCGCTATGAAGCGGCGTTGAGACGGGAAGCGGAAGATGATGAGTTATCCGATGGGGCGCGGAGAAGACAGTCTGGGGCAGCGAAAAGCGGGATCACTCTCGTTGACGATGATGGAGCCGAGGACGGTAATGAGATGGATGTGGATGATTCGGATTCGGATGATAGGCAGGATGAGGAATTTTTGCGCAGCCAAGATCATGTACGAATCAAACAGGAGATGAGTACAGCTCCTGTCGATGACGATTAGTAGGTGAGCATTTCGAATAATATCTCTGTAAATTCAATAGATACCCGATGGCGTTACTCGGGTTTCAAACAAGATTATTCTAGCTTGTTATTCAACCCATCGCTTCTGAGAATCAATATTATTGATTGACCCGTGATTAACCATGCCTGACAATCGGGACACGGGAACTGCTTCCTAGAGTACATCCAATATCCGTCGTGAAAGCTGGAGCATAAGCCATGATCCCAGTATGTGCCACAAAAGTCGACATGAAATAACAGAAACCCAAGTAAAACAGCCGTGCGCCCGCAGTAAACAATACTAACATCAGAAGAAGAAAAGATACGATGAAAAAAGTTAAGACCGCACTAACAGGGGTATTTCCAAGGGGCTATTGTCCTGCCTCGAAATCGTCATGAGGCACACAGATTTGTTTCTAACAACGTGTCGATATCCTCGATGCGGGTCCGATAGACAGTTCGCTAAAAAAAAGATTTCCAGCTGAACAACAAGTCGTGGGGTATTCTATTAACGCGGAGCTCTAGAGAAACTAGAACTGGATGACTCTGCTGCGGTCGCATCGTATCCAGACGCCGCCTTTCCCGAGAGCGAAAAGAAAGTAAACGTCCATAGCTCGATAGCGCAAGAAGATCGGCGATTCAATCACTAGAAGTCAACTTATTCGAGCAAAACTCAACGCGTTTTTTTTTCTCTACACCAAGGGACTTTTGACTGTCGTCCGATTACTCAAGGTTGACTCGTTTACTTCGTAATGAGGTTGAGATAATCAGCCACAATAAGCGTGACCATCCTAAAGTGGGTCCGTGGGGTTAGTGATAAGCACTTAAGAAAAAAAAAACGGCGTGGAGAGTGGGGAGACTAACGCATGGGGTGCGATCCGCACATAGTACGTCCCGAATCCGCGGTAAAACCTCAGCCAACCCTCATCCTTGGCGACTTTGCGAGCGCAATCCAGCAAACCCTTGTACGGCAACTGGCCAGTCTTTGGGTCTTTTTGCTGCTTCTGCAGACGAGTCTTGATGAAGTCGAAGGGTAAAGAAAGGAAACTGGCAAAGAAACCAGCGATAGCGGAAGCTGCAAAGGTCTGGTTTTGAGCCGATAGGGAAGTGTGGGCCTTCAGTTGAGCCTTAGATTCAGCGAAGAAGGTCAATTGGCCGACATTGAGAGCCATCGCCCGCACAACGGTCGGCAAAGCTCCTGCCCACAAGGCCGGGACACCCTCAATCTTTGAGATGCGGAAGAGTGCATCCACCACCGAACGATAGTTTGCTCGCGCCTCTGGGGGCTTCAGACCGTCTGACTGCATGCGCACAAGAGCCAGATCAGCCGGATTACCAATCATAGCAGCAACTCCACCAGCGGTAAGGCCCGCACCGGCGCGCTCCGCGAAAGTGACCTTTCTATTTGCGGCTTCGGCGCGCTTATTCAGTGTTTTAGTGAAAGTGTCGAAGAAACCCAGGCGGGCAGTAGTGTAGACGGCCTGGCGGAGTAAACCTGCCGATAGACCAGTATAGAGATCAAGGATCTTTCCGCCGGCAATGATGTCGCGGGCAACGCCGAACGCGGTCGGTCGAGGGCCGGTTCGTACACCCTCCCCTGCCAGCTGAAGGCGCACCTTAATCATGTCAATTGGCTGAATGACAGTGGTCGCTGTCATGCCCGCTAGGCCACCATTAATGAAAGGAAGGGCCGCGCGGGAGTAGGGGTGATGTAGAAAGTCCATTGCGGCCTGAGATTCTTTGGCAGTTGGAGATGCCATTTTGATCACAAAGAGGAATTACAACAAGCCTGGAAAAGTCAGCACACGGTTGTAGTACCGGGCGGGCACTTGGGCAGATGACGGCAATAGTAGGGAGAGCAGAGCATGTATGACCATCCACTAACCGATGGTAGCAGCAATCAGGAGACGTTATGCAAGTGCGACTGGAGACGTATGATGGAGAGGAGAAAAACGATCGATGAAGCTTACCAGCGAAGGATAGGGTAGTATATAGCGGATACTACACGAGAGACACGAAAAGAGGGGAAGAGGAGTAATAGAAGAAGATACGAAAATAGAATCCGACGTGGACGAGAAAAAGCAGGGAGAGGAAGTGAGGGGAAAGAGAAGAGATCGACTGAAATAGAAGGAAACACTGAAGTGAGTTCTGGTAGCCAGTCAGATGATAAAGCGTGACGCTGCGGGGGATTGGACAGCACATGTACAGTCAGTCATTCAAGAAGTTTGGTTCAGTCCCAGAGGAGATTTCTTGGGTTATAAGGTTTTCTGGTCAAAATTAACGAGACATGGCTAAGATGAATGGCGACACATCAAAGAGTGGAAACAAAACTGACTAGCAAGTAAATAGTAGTAGTTTCTCATGTAGCGATCTTCGCTAGATAGCACTTAAGGAGGTCCCCACAATCTAAGCATGTCTCCGGTCCCTCTGGTACCTCTCCATACAACGTCATAGTACTAAGCAAAGCTCTAGACTGAGGATTAACCTGAAACTGTGGTACTACTGCATCATGCCGCCACGAATGCGGGGAACACTCTGGGGAAACGAGCTCGCCGCTGAATGGTATGCTCTGTTTAGCCAGATATACTGGCATGAAGTTTTCATCTTGAGATCGCGATCTGGTCAACAGAAATGATAACAATTCCCCTCTTTCTTAGGGAAAAGTATATCCAAGGTAGTCAAAATCATTGAATACTGTACAAGCTCCACTGCATGTCACATTCTAAGGGAGTGGGGGTCGTAATCTTACCGTATCAATGCATCACCCGGGGAGAACTAGTCCGTTTGTGGTTCCACGATAACCCGACCGATTTTCCGACACCTGATCAATCCAGAAGAATACTATTTTATTTGCACTAAGACCAGAGAGCATTCTCCAATACGATACGGGTTATATAAAGAATACAGGTACTTAACTGTATATCCGGACAATTATATATAAAATGAGCCAGTCAAATGTACATTCAATCCATATACGTATGTGCACATGTACGGGTGATCTTGCAATAAATACCAGCCCATTCAGCCGAGCCAGACGGTACCCGAGGATAGAGATACTACCTAGGTGGTAAGATCGACCGTATGGCTCAGTAATTTTCTTCCGCCGTGCTGGCTCGGGTGATAACCCGGGACCCAATCGGAGGATAGCAATTACTGAGGCCTGGATCTATGATGGGAGCGTCTGCTCACAATGATGTTCTAGGCGCGGCAAATGTGTCTTCACACCAACCTCTAATGATAGGCCTTATTGTGGTCTGGTTCAAGGACTACCTAACTTTGCATATGGTTATTCTATTCCACTACTCAATTTCAATAGTATACAGCGCAACGACCACTAAAAGCATAGCCGTATCTCCATTCACCCACAGCAGTCCTTTCCTCCGAGGGATACCCGGGGCCCGATAACCGGCACTTACTATACAGTCTCAAGCAAGCAAAAAGAAATTTGATTAAATAGGATTAGACCCCTTTACGACTCAGCCAAAAGGCAATATATTATACGGCACAAGAATCCGGACAACTGTTCTCCAGTATAGATGGTATACTTATTAGGGGTTAGTGATCACTACATTGCATACCACAGTACGGGCATCCCAACTTTCTCAAAAGGTCTTCACCGGTATATACAATCAGTGTTCCCAATGTGCGGTCTGTAACTCTACATGCACTGCCTGTCTAGATAGATCGGTACTCCCCGAAAAGAAAGTGTAGTGTTTCGTATAACTGCCAGCGTTGAAGCGAATTATCTCCTCTGGTATCATATGTGACTTTGTATAAGGCCCACTTTCTATTGGCCAACAGTTACCAAACCACTAAATGACAAAAGGATCGACTTCTGTATTGTGGACTGTACCGTGTACAAGTTCGGAAAATAGTGTTCACGTGGCTAAGCGGTGCAGATACAAGTCGATACATCCTATCAGTGAACATTAATAGAAAATTGCATACAAATCTCAGCAGGCCAAGATACAGTCACCCCAATCCAATTCTAAATGTTCAACCCCCAACAAACCCACGGAGCCATAGCCGCGGGAAACATCCCGGCAAAGAGATGCCCAACGGCATAGGTCATCGGGCTGCCAAGCGCGACTCATCATGGTTAGTCCTCTTAGTTCTTACTCGGGCCAGAAGCGGGAGTCCCATGCGGAAGCTGAACGGGAAGCGGGAAGGAAAGGGTGGGAAGTCGGTAATGAATTGTTTCCACCCGCTTAGCTACGAGGTCAGTGTGCCGATAGAGTATCCGGAGCTCTTGCCGTGGGGCCTATCGAACTGTCAGCTAAACCTTGTGGGGAGCTATGGCTCTAGCAAATCATAGAATTGCCGATTCTCGCTGTTGTTATCGGAGGTTCTATCACGTTAGTTATCACAAAGTCATCGTTGGTTAATTATGGTTGTGGGTATCTTGTGGGCCTTATGTTGAGGCTGCACGCCAGTCTTTTCTGGAACTTGTATTGCGATCGTAGAGTTGGGTGTCGTGGGATTGAAGCGTTGGGAGTGGGTTGAAGGTGGAATGGGTCCTAAGTGTAACGGCGGTATACTATATAGATGCCCCCAGGGCATTCGGGATCGTTGATCCCGAATTATATGACCTTTTGGCCTTGTGGAATAGGGTGCCCTGGCTCTATCTCTCACACTAAGTCTAATAGTAATACTACCTTATATAGAAGCCCTAACGTGAGGCGGGTACATGAGCAGTTCGTCTCAGTGCCTTCGAAACCTTGAACAGACATCAATCGGTCTCCTCTGAGGCTATCACAATCTCATTTACAGGCTTTCATGGCTCAGTATGAGTAGCACTATTGCCAAGCAATATATATACGCTTCGTTTGATGTATCCCTATATCAGGGATTGTGGAGGTCAACTACAATAATTCATTACTTTAACTGCTCGATAGGAACATTGACCACCGTGGAAAACACACCGACGATTGGGACTTGCCTTTGCCATATCTCGATATCTTTCGCAACATATAGTCCGAGCCTCTAACCTTTCAACTATAAGCCGTGTTAGCATGACCGTGCATTGGAATCACCTATCAGTATTCGAGGATCTTGCTTCAGTTGAAGGATTTATCACTACGAGATATTATTCTCCTGAAGTTATATAAATCTACAATCCGGAGGTCACTTGTCTCCGGTTAGCTAACGTGCATTTCGTTCTCTAGTACCTCCAGTACTTGGTGCACGCATGTCAAAATTTGGCCATCAATAACCAGACCATTGATACATAAAGATGACAACCCTATCCCTTCTAGACTACAATCAAAAAGCCTTGTGTAACGACAAGCTACATAGTCATGGGTACGAGTGCTACCATCAGATTGACCGAAGGAAGCTACAAGAATGACGGCCAGGCAGCGTAGGGCACCTTTTTGGCCCTAAAGATTAGTGGACATCTGATAGCTAGCCAAATCTCCATTGACATTATATGCAGACTTGACATTGCAACTGAATTATTCGAAGATGGTATAAGTACCCTGAGACTGCTATGTAGCTCTACCGCTCGACTCTAGATAACAAAGAAGCTTAGCTGAACAGCTACCATCACGAAAGGGATCCGATATCATGTCTAGCTCCTCAATTCTCCCAACTTTTGCCATGTGCCGCCCAATTTACCAAACGCTGCGAGAAACCCTGTTCATTTCAGTGAGCGACGCATTAACTAGTTGCCCAAACATACCCGAGCACTTCACTGATACAGTCCTATGAAATGGAAACGAAGTTTCCCGGCATGTTTGGAGCTTGATTTGCGCCACTCATGTCGACATAAGAGGCAAGTAGGTGACGCTCTTGTACATGCGCGAGATATCAACTGGATGTATTCATCTCTTGGTTGCTCCATATAGTGAGTACTAGCACAAGCATTAGCATATGGCTCTGACTGCAGAAATCCAGCAATGATATGATTGCTTTTTTATCCAGAATGCAGTGTCCTCTGCATCGAGGAATGCGTGTAGAGACTTGTGAACTATCATGTATTCGCCTTGAAATGCTTGCTGGCGTGCCTAGTGACATGCTATATTCGGGCGATTGTAGTTCAATCCAAGTACAAGTATTCTTTATGTTTCTTATCGAGAATATCCGCATAGCTGAGTGAGAACCAAGGGGGTGGAGGGGGAAGGGGAAGGATTGGCGAGGGCATTCTAGACAAAAGTCAGAGTCACTTTTGTTTGATTTTTAATTTTTAAGAGATCATTTGAGGGTCATTAATCTCACCGTTGATATCTTTTCTTCAAAGCGGCAAAAGGAAGGTTACGGTAGAAAAGTACTACGAGGAAAGGCATACATGTTCATAATAAGTCTAGTAAATTTTCATTTCATGTTATCTCACAGGTATTATTGACCAGTCTGAATAGCCAAACCCATATTCGATCATAAAGAAAAGATATTACCGAACGGAATGCGAAAAGGTATGACCCAGCTTGTCTTGCCAAGCTTTTTAAATGACCCAAAGAATAGAACGCGACACGCCATGCAATATAGAAAAGCAAAAGGGAATCAGTTGACAAAGGAAATCAAGCAAAAGAATCGCAAACATTTTATGCCAGCACTGGGCCAGCCTCAATGACTTCCTTGGTTGCCTGGTCAGCGTACTTGGTGAAGTTCTCGTTGAACAGCTTGCCGAGCTTGTTGACCTCGTCCTTGAAGCTGGTGGATGCAATCCAGCTGTTCTTGGGGTTCAGAAGCTCAGAGGGAACATTAGGGCAGCTCTTGGGCACGTGGAGGTTGAAAACATCGTAGACCTCGTACTCGGCGTTGG